ATTGTTGAAAATTAGGGAAATAATTCTGTTAGAACTGGTACAAAAAGGAGTCGAAGAGAAAGGCAGCATCTAGAGACATGAATTTGAATTCTGTGTACGTAGCACAGTTTTAGGAAGTTATGAATATCTGGCCAAAAATCTAATTACAACTAAATGAAGTTGAAAATGTTTAACACCTGTTATCTAGGATTTATTTCATCATCTCATTTTTTTTTCATATTTTTCTTGTTATCAAAGGAACTGATTAAAAATGGTGCACGTGTCAAAAAACTCCAGGGTCAAAACCATACATGAATTACAAAGTGGAAATCTTGGAAAAGGCTATGGATGCAGTTCAGAAGGGGATGTTAAAGAAAAAGGCCACAGAAACGTTCAAAGTGCCTTGGACAACATTAGTACGGAAAATTCCGACATTCGAGATGTGGTGAAAAAATACCTAGATAAGCAAGGTCAAGGTCTTCAAGAACAACAGTCCAGGTCCAGATTTCATCGATTCTTTTATCGCTAGAAACAACCTGTCCACCAGAAGCGGTCCAGGTCGTCAGTTAACCGCGACGACATGCTTCAGTTACATTTTCAGGGGAACTTGATCATCTGACATGCAAAGTAAGAGATTGTCCCTAAAACGAAGTTTAGTGTCCAAGAAGCCCCAACAAAGGGGCTATTCGGATATCATTTTTTATATATTTTTTGTTATTTGTATAACGTATTTTTAATGTTTTATGATAGCTATATAATCCTAAAGGTTAGTTTGGTATGATGAAGAAGTTTCTGTTGCTCTAACTATATTTCTTCACTTTTAATCTTCAAAAATGCGTAAAAAACGTGTCCAAGTAACCCCATCTAATCCTTTTTCGGTGTTGGACACAGCAGATAATAATCAACTTCAACCCCAATAGGACTTTTTTCAGAGAATACAACTTTATTTATATCATTAGCAACTTCATTGTAACAATCCCAATACGATATATAAAATCTCTTGTTGCAGTTTCGTCTAGTTTTCTCCTCTTCGCTTGTAATTCACCATCACATTGATGACTAACAGAACTGTTGCTGTTATCACTTTCGAATATTAATTAAGTATCCTCTCTTTAATGCAAAAAAATAGTCGTTTTGAAAAACAACTTTTAGTTTTTGAAAAAACAATATTTGAAGGTTTTTCGATGTTGCATTCATCGATAACTTTCAAAATTCGCTATAAAATTAATTTCTTGAAGGATTCTTGTGGAAATATCACCAATTATTAATTAAAGTATCCCCTTTTTAATGTAAAAAGCCGTTTTGAAAAATCACTTTCAGTTCTTGAGAAACACATTTTTGAAATGATAGACAATTTTTTCAAATTTTGCAATTTTAGCCGATTAAGTTTTAAAAATTCGTATAAAATCGATTTCCTGGAATATGAGTATGAAAATTTCGAAAAATGTTAATAAAAGTGTCCTCTTTCCAGTGAATCAACCCGTTTTAAAAAATAACTTTAGTTTTTGAGAAAGCAATATTTGAAGTTTTGATAAAATTTTCGATGTTACAATTTTCATCGAAAACATTCAAAATTCGCTATAAAATTAATTTCTTGAAGGATCCTTGTGGAAATATCACCAATTATTAATTAAAGTATCCCCTTTTTAATGCAAAAAGCCGTTTTGAAAAATAACTTTCAGTTCTTGAGAAATACATTTTTGAAATGATCGACAATTTTTTCGAATTTTGCAATTTTAGCGGATTAAGTTTTAAAAATTCGTATAAAATCGATTTCCTGGAATATAAGTATGAAAATTTCCCAAAATGTTAATAAAAGTGTCCTCTTTCCAATGAATCAACCCGTTTTGAAAAATAACTTTTAGTTTTTGAGAAAACAATATTTGAAGTTTTGATAAAATTTTCGATGTTGCAATTTTCATCGATAATTTTCAAAATTCGCTATAAAATTAATTTCTTGAAGGATCCTTGTGGAAATATCACCAATTATTAATTAAAGTATCCTCTTTTTAATGCAAAAAGCCGTTTTGAAAAATCACTTTTAGTTCTTGAGAAATAAATTTTTGAAATGATCGACAATTTTTTCGAATTTTGCAATTTTCGCCGATTAAGTTTTAAAAATTCGTATAAAATCCATTTCTTGGAATATGAGTATGAAAATTTCCCAAAGTGTTAATAAAAGTGTCCTCTTTCCAATGAACCAACCCGTTTTGAAAAATAACTTTTAGTTTTTGAGAAAACAATATTTGAAGTTTTGATAAAATTTTTGAAGTTGCAATTTTCATAAACAACTTTCAAAATTCGCTATAAAATTCATTTCTTGAAGGATCCTTGTGGAAATATCACCAATTATTAATTAAAGTATCCCCTTTTTAATGTAAAAAGCCGTTTTGAAAAATCACTTTCAGTTCTTGAGGAATACATTTTTGAAATAAACGACAAATTTGCAATTTCGCCGAATAAGTTTTAAAAATTCGTATAAAATCGATTTCTTGGAATATGAGTATGAAAATTTGGAAAAATGTTAATAAAAGTGTCCTCTTTCCAGTGAATCAACCCGTTTTAAAAAATAACTTTTAGTTTTTGAGAAAACAATATTTGAAGTTTTGATAAAATTTTCGATGTTACAATTTTCATCGAAAACATTCAAAATTCGCTATAAAATTAATTTCTTGTAGGATCCTTGTGGAAATATCACCAATTATTAATTAAAGTATCCCCTTTTTAATGCAACAAGCCGTTTTGAAAAATCACTTTCAGTTTTTGAGAAATAAATTTTTGAAATAATCGACATTTTTTTTCGAATTTTGCCGAATAAGTTTTAAAAATTCGTATAAAATCGATTTCTTGGAATATGAGTATGAAAATTTCCCAAAGTATTAATAAAAGTGTCCTCTTTCCAATGAACCAACACGTTTTGAAAAATAACTTTTGTTAAATAAAAAATTTGTGGATATCTATGTTATATTTTTAACGCGCATTTTTTGAGTTAAAATTGAAATGTACAGGTGTCCCAAAATTGACAGACCATGCCTAAGTTGACATTTTAAAATAGGAACTCCCATTTTTTTTGTTACATTTATGGATTTGAAAAAATAGCAGTTAAAAAATACTGTTACTATTTTATTTGCAATAATAGAGTAAACTACGCTATTCTCTGTTTTTGTATTAATTTTTGACAATATCACTTGTGACTTATTATTGTGTATTCTTGACATTTTTCTGGAAAAGTTCTCGCCAATCTGGATATTTAATGATTTTATTATTAGGTGGTCATGCACAAGAATTTTATGCACTGCCACAGGCATTTAATACCAATTATATAATTGATTGTATAATAGAATTGTGTCGTTTGTAAAATTTTTAATAATAATTTTTGTGAAATAGACATCTAGTTTGGTATTTTAACGCGTTATTGTTTTTCTTTTTTATTATTGTGTGTTGGATAGGTATTTTTTAACTAAAAAAATACGTCGGACTTGTTTGGCAAGAAAGTTACAACATGATATTCGAAAGCTTCTGGTTCTAGATCTAATAATAGAGTTAGTACTAATATTAATTCATAAAAAATAGTTATTCTGAAAAATTCTAAACGATTGATAGTTTCAAAACTAACTTTCAGTATTGATTGTCGAATATCCGTAGACACCACCCTGTATATTAGCCATTTTATTGAAAATGCGCAATTTATTTTTTTAGGAACGGAAGGTATAGGCTTGAAACTACAAGAAAAGACAAATTTCAACCTGGGATCTTGTGGGACTTTTTTTGTAGGTTAAATTAAAGTTTAACATTGCAAATAAAATCTGTTTAAAAACAGTGTTGAGAAAAAGATAAATAAATCCAGCATTCAAGAAGCTATTACAGTGTTACATAAACAACACATACAGTAAAAAATTATAGTGAAATTTTATAAGGGTCCAACTTTTGATATGTTTACAATCTTTTCTCAATATTAATCAAATGTTTTTGGAAATTGATATGCAAAATAAGTGTTAACTTTACATGTCATTTTTATCCAGAGTTGAGGTGAAAATTAGTATAATCATATTATGGCCGGTAATTTCTAACTTCCTAACACTGTGCGTAGGGGAGAAATATAGTAAGATGTAAATCTTGCTACCATACTGTGTCCAGAAAAAGATACTGCAGACTGTTACAGTGCTATTAAATGTCAAAAAATCTGCGATTTTTTTTGGCAAGACGGTAACATAATAACGACAAAGCAAACGACTCGAACACTTTCCATTTCAGGTTAATGGGCACAGCTGGATTTTTGAGGATGAAGCCGAATTTCCTAAACGCCCATCCTTCTTATTACTTCGGTGGTTTGATTTTCTTTGCCCATCGTGACTCAAAATCTTTGCCTTTTGGTTTATCCTTAGACCCACTTCAGCTGATACTTTATGGAGATGCTCCAGGATATCCTTTAACTCCTCTGGGTTTCTACTTATCACGAGAGACTTAGAACTTTATAACATTAAAGTATTTTAATAATGTAAACTTGATATTTGATATTTTAATCAACTATTGCAGCTTAAAAACTAGTCTCTGAAGATGGCTATTAGCCGAAACTAGTAAGACTCATGTTTTTGTTTAATTAAAGACCAGTTTTGAAAGTACAAAAAAGCTTTAGATATTATTTATCCATTTACTGGTAAAATGGATTTTGAATATAATTCTCTACATAATAGAATGTGTTTATCATGTAATCCTTTAGAAAAAAAATAACAACGTAACAATTTTACGTAAAAAAAGTAGTCATTAGTACACACAAGTTTCCATTTCGAAGTAAAGTCAATGCTATAAATAAACATTTCCAGTTTCGAGGCATCGTTTTGCATAACAAGGCCCCCAGTCGTCTCTCTATTATGCGCATTTCGAGCTCGATATCGAATTTTACTCCCCGCGCCATAAAATTCGAGGGCACCTGTTTCAAACTACACTCAACAAATACTTTCACAAAATCTAAATATTTATTTCATTCAATATTGATTTATTAATAATAAATGATTTTTTACCTGCTTTCCAGTCCTGGGCAGAGTCTCCATAGCCGTTCCATTCACTACAGGGGCCTTCTCTTGCGTGACCCCACCGTTCGTAGTCGCACTACCGTTTCCTAAAGCCATATTATTATTATTATTTTTATTCAAAATTCTACGGTTTTCAAATCGAATTCACTTAACAAACTTAAATAATCATCCGATAATCGATAACTATTTCACAAAAACACAGCATCGTCGTAACAATCCCGGAAAACGACCCGGATTGCGGTGATTCATTTAGATAGATCGCGAAGCAGATCTGCACCCGCCGAAGAACGCTTTCAGAGTGGTAGTCGTGGTAGTACCGGAGAAATTTTGACTCAGTAGGTAGCTTTTACTGGTACGAAATAAGAATTGAAGCACGTACTACACTGTTTGTCCCCACCGAGCGAGTGTTTTTGCCGCCTAACGCATGCGTTTTATCGAACCATAATCCAGACCGTTGAGTTTACGCCTGCGCATTATCCACTTCATTTTATAACAAATATGTTTGTATAATTTGAAATTTTTTGTTATTTCTAAGTTTCCTAATTATTTTACTAGGCATTATAGTATTTAGTAATAATTTTTATATTATCTATCTACATAAGATATTATTAGGTATTGTGAAGTTGTTTTTATCGTTTTAAAATATGCGTGTCATAAATATTTATATGATATAATAACTCACCGTAATAATTTTTATTATAGGTTGCAAAGAATAAGTTGTATTTAACGCATAAAAAAGACACTACTGAAATTTCCTATGCTAATTCTTCTACATTTATGGTAACAGAATCATTATCGTGAACTAAAATATCGTGTTATAAAAAGGGAAAATGAAGTCTCTGTTTTATAATAACGTACAAAATCCAAATGATTTATTACTAAAATCTAACATAAAAAAACTGAAACAAGAAATTGACAAAAATATCCTCATGTTTTTGTCACGAAGATTTTCTCAACACACTTTTTCAACTTCTGAAACAATTAGACGTACTTTGATATCCTGAAATACAGTGTCAGCCATTTAGTCTCATCTCCTTTGGTCCTTTCTCTACCAAATAAGAATGTTATTGACGTGTTAGCTATACCCATTACCAATATGGTGAATTGTTGCTTTACAAACGACATATTTCCTAATGAACTTAAAGTGGTCCCTGTTTTTAAATCAGATAGTCCAGATGATTATAAAAACTATAGACCTATTTCTATACATCCTGTTTTTTTTTAATATTCGAATCTCTATTAAAAAGATTTATTGAGTATATGGAAAATCTTCAGCTCTAACTACCTTGGTTGATGCTGTGGTACGTGCGTTTGACGAGAAGGAGGATGTTCAATTATTATGTTGTGACTTGTCAAAGGCTTTTGATTGCGTCCAACATGATTTTCTGTTGAATAAATTGGAACATTATGGTATAAGAGGTCTACCAAATCAAATGATTCGTAGTAATCTTAACAACAGAATGCAGTGTGTAGAGTGAAAAGGTCGAACTTCGGATGTTACTAATATTATATCTGGTGTCCCACAAGGATCAATTCTGGCCCCTTTATTATTTACATAAATGATCTTCCTATGAACATCTCAGCTGATGACATTTATACAGTGATTCATAAGTAATGGGCCAAATTGTAAATGTACGTTCAGGAGGCCAAAATAATAATATTTTCATTAACAATAATGGGTCNATATTTTAATCAACTATTGCAGCTTAAAAACTAGTCTCTGAAGATGGCTATTAGCCGAAAGTAGTAAGACTCATGTTTTTGTTTAATTAAAGACCAGTTTTGAAAGTACAAAAAAGCTTTAGATATTATTTATCCATTTACTGGTAAAATGGATTTTGAATATAATTCTCTACATAATAGAATGTGTTTATCATGTAATCCTTTAGAAAAAAAATAACAACGTAACAATTTTACGTAAAAAAAGTAGTCATTAGTACACACAAGTTTCCATTTCGAAGTAAAGTCAATGCTATAAATAAACATTTCCAGTTTCGAGGCATCGTTTTGCATAACAAGGCCCCCAGTCGTCTCTCTATTATGCGCATTTCGAGCTCGATATCGAATTTTACTCCCCGCGCCATAAAATTCGAGGGCACCTGTTTCAAACTACACTCAACAAATACTTTCACAAAATCTAAATATTTATTTCATTCAATATTGATTTATTAATAATAAATGATTTTTTACCTGCTTTCCAGTCCTGGGCAGAGTCTCCATAGCCGTTCCATTCACTACAGGGGCCTTCTCTTGCGTGACCCCACCGTTCGTAGTCGCACTACCGTTTCCTAAAGCCATATTATTATTATTATTTTTATTCAAAATTCTACGGTTTTCAAATCGAATTCACTTAACAAACTTAAATAATCATCCGATAATCGATAACTATTTCACAAAAACACAGCATCGTCGTAACAATCCCGGAAAACGACCCGGATTGCGGTGATTCATTTAGATAGATCGCGAAGCAGATCTGCACCCGCCGAAGAACGCTTTCAGAGTGGTAGTCGTGGTAGTACCGGAGAAATTTTGACTCAGTAGGTAGCTTTTACTGGTACGAAATAAGAATTGAAGCACGTACTACACTGTTTGTCCCCACCGAGCGAGTGTTTTTGCCGCCTAACGCATGCGTTTTATCGAACCATAATCCAGACCGTTGAGTTTACGCCTGCGCATTATCCACTTCATTTTATAACAAATATGTTTGTATAATTTGAAATTTTTTGTTATTTCTAAGTTTCCTAATTATTTTACTAGGCATTATAGTATTTAGTAATAATTTTTATATTATCTATCTACATAAGATATTATTAGGTATTGTGAAGTTGTTTTTATCGTTTTAAAATATGCGTGTCATAAATATTTATATGATATAATAACTCACCGTAATAATTTTTATTATAGGTTGCAAAGAATAAGTTGTATTTAACGCATAAAAAAGACACTACTGAAATTTCCTATGCTAATTCTTCTACATTTATGGTAACAGAATCATTATCGTGAACTAAAATATCGTGTTATAAAAAGGGAAAATGAAGTCTCTGTTTTATAATAACGTACAAAATCCAAATGATTTATTACTAAAATCTAACATAAAAAAACTGAAACAAGAAATTGACAAAAATATCCTCATGTTTTTGTCACGAAGATTTTCTCAACACACTTTTTCAACTTCTGAAACAATTAGACGTATTTTGATATCCTGAAATATCAACAGTCCAATAACACTAGTTTACAAATTTTAATCAATTTCCTCGAAGAATGTTGTGAACGTAGTTCAAAATTTGTTTTTGGTGTTGCATAATTACACTAGTTTACAAGAAAAATCTCGAAAACTGTGATATTTTATTTATAACGTAGAATGTTGTGCTGATTCTGAAACTGTCTTCAGTTTTTCTTCATCACGCCCAGTTTTCGAGATATACCCAAAAATGTGAAAAATCGTAAATTAAAAAAGAGGCCAGCATCTGTAATATTACCTTCACTACACATCAAACTGGGTTTGATAAAAAACTTTGTGAAAACGTTGAATCCAGAAGGCCCAGCATTCTACAACGTAGTTCACAACATTCGTACTCTTCAGTTTTTTGCTATCACGTCCAGTTTTCGAGATATACCCAAAAATGTGGAAAATCGTAAATTAAAAAACATAGTAACGGTTCATGTTCAGTATATTTTTTATTTTGCATAGTGTGCTTCTGTGGCTATATGGACATGAAAGTAGAGATCCAGACGAACATTTTGACGTATTGATGCCATAAATTGGACTTGGTCAGGAGGATTTGGTTTTAGCAGAGTTTCACTATGCGCACTCGGGTTTTTGCCTGATCTTACAAACGATACCAAACTTTCTTTGTCTTTTTATTTGTATTGTCTAGATTAATAGTACAGATCTTTTATGGAATTAAATTTTATGTTTAATACATACTACTTTACTTATTGTTAGTATAGTGTGGGATATGATTACTTTTCGACAATTTTTTGTATGTCTTTGGGTCGATTTCTCTAATAACACTCCAGAGATAATCTCCCATCATCCCTGCGTCCCAGTAACCTTGATAACGTCTTTCCAATGTCATTAAGTCTTAATGGAACCGCTCGCTTTGTTCGTCACTTTCCGCTCCAAGATTGCTTGGAAAAAATCTAAGTGCAAATGGAGAAAATGGATTTTGATCGACATATTTACATTTATGGCTTCGTAATTGTGCAATAATTTGGAAATTATTTGGGATAATTCTCATCCTTATGGTTTCCTAAAAATCCATGGACGGTTTGTTTGAAGCTAATCCACGCCGTTTCTTCTTTTGTTATTAATGTTGACATGAATTCGTTGTCATTTATTAATTTTTTTATTTGAGGGCCAACAAATATGCCTTCTTTTAGTTTAGCGTACAATAGTTGTGGAAAGAGCTGGGTGAGATATTTAAATGCTGGGCCTTCTGGATTCAACGTTTTCACAAAGTTTTTTATCAAACCCAGTTTGATGTGTAGTGAAGGTAATATTACAGATGCTGGTCTCTTTTTTAATTTACGATTTTCCACATTTTTGGGTATATCTCGAAAACTGGGCGTGATGAAGAAAAACTGAAGACAGTTTCAGAATCAGCACAACATTCTACGTTATAAATAAAATATCACAGTTTTCGAGATTTTTCTTGTAAACTAGTGTAATTATGCAACACCAAAAACAAATTTTGAATTTCTGCAGCAGTAGTGTTAACATTTTTTTCCATGTTTGCAAAAAAATTCAGCATTTATACAGGGTGATTCTCAGCCTATACGCATAAACTTGGGCATTTATTCCTCACGACAAATAATGGCTAATAGGTGAAAAAAATTGTAGTAAAAGATTTTTGATTTCCTAGATAAGGTGCTTCCTGGAAGATGGACAGCTCGAGGTAGTCTATTGGTTTGGCCATCTCGATCGCCCGACCTCCATCCTCTTGTTTTTTTTAGTTTTGAGATCACTTAAAAAGCATAGTATACGTCACCGAAGTTAATACTGAGCAAAGTTTGTGAAATCAGATACAAACTGCTGCCGAGACAATCCGCCAACACCCTGGTTTAGGCCGCGCTATCATATCATTTAAGCGTACAGTCTTTTCTTCTAGAAATCATTTTACACAGCAACACCAAAGTACTCTCATCAACTCTCATCTGTTTAGAACTGATACCACCATACTTATTTCATCTTCTGCAAAAAAAATTTTTACATACATTTGAGTGGGTTGTTTGCTCATGTCCTCCTGATTGCAAGAGTTACCTAGACAAATGATGCATGGAGAAATTTAGTAACGAGATGAAGAATGACATGTACGGATCACACAATGTTGAGAGCATCAAAAAGAAATAGATAGAACTCAGGCGAAAAACGTCATTCCTCTGTTTTGTTGATCTAACCAAAACGTAAGTACGAAAGCTTTCACGGCCGGAGTTAACCCGAAAGTTTTTAGTGTTAGTTCTAGTTTTAGTTCTAATTTTAGTTCAACTAACCAAAACGTTCGACAAAGTAAGGATAAAAGAATTAGAACAGACCAACATTACAAAGTACAAAATCAAGATTGAGTGCTATACAGATGATGCCGTCTTCTTGGCTGATACTGAGGATGGCATACAGTGGTTAACATAGGCATTTAACATTGCAGCTGAGGAAGTGAATATTGAGGAAGTTAATACTGAGCAAGGATTATAAAATCAGATACTGGTATAGGCCGCACTTGGATTCAGCGAACCCAATTGTGCATACAATATATTGGAAACAACTTGGAACACTTGTTTTGATGTCATTTTAAAATCTTATATATTCTTGATTTGAAAGTAAATTTCATGGATATCTAGGAAACTAAAAAACTTTTGCTACAATTTTTGTCATCTATTACTCATTATTTGTCATGAGGAATAAATCCCTAAGTTTATACGTATAAGTTGAGAATCAGCCTGTATATCCCAATATAGTTCCTAATTCCTCTCAGCATTGTTTTGACTTTTTAACATTAAGCCATTGAAATTTGTGAAAAAAATGGTCTTCCAAAATAAAACCTAAAGCAGTTGACATGACAAGAGTTCCCAATGCCCCTGATGACCACAAAATTATCAAACTGGAGGCACAACTTATAAGCGATGGCTCAAAATGTTTTTCAACCGATAAGTATGTGAACTTTGCTTATGACAAAATAAAAAAGTTCTTCAAACAAACATTGCTAACTCAAAAACCGTGGCTAGAACAAACGGGCAATCGTGGAGTTTTCTGAGGAGTTTTTAAAGGTAGCATAATGACCAAAAATAATTCTTCATTGATTGTCGTACTTGGTATTCTAGAAAAATAGAACATGTGTGGAACGAGCGCCTGAATAATCAAACCCAAGGCGTGTCATCGAAGAAAAAACTTAAAAAAAACTCTGCTAACTAGGGCCAACAGTCTGAGCACTAATAAATTTTAATGTACCAAGTCCACTTAATGCTGTTTGGATTAAAGAACACCAACAACATTCCAAAGTTTTATCCGTTTATTTGCAGAAATTTGAGAACTCGAAGAATTGAGAAGAACCGCTGTTGCACTAAAACAGCTATACAACAGATTGTATCTTCTCAATAGGCGACTCCCGAACTATAAGTATTCAGTTCCACCTGCACATAACTCGAGAATATATCAAATATATTCTTCAATATATACCAAAAATCAACTGGATTCTTACAACCTCATAACAATTACACACTTAAGAGGTTGTGGAATGGCTTAGGCTGTTTGGCATTTTCAGTACTACTTGAGAGATTAACAATTTGTGAATGGATCCCTGAATTCTAGAAAAAGGAATTGCCATTACATTTAAATGAGGAATCTTAAAACTGTATCCGTTATTTGTGTCTTATCAGTCTTATCACTTAGAAAAGGGAAGCGATGGTCTTTCTGAACACTGCAAATTGCAATACTACTACGTTCATGATGGACTGCACAGGTGGCGTACTATAGATATATTCTTACTGATAATTCCACACCAGATAGAACAGACTCTGTACTTGAAGAGACCTTACAGTTGAAATGGTACTGCGTACGATTTCAAGATATTAATTCTAGATAGGATTAGCTGAAAATATCCATAACTATGTTAGTTCTGTATGACGCTTTATGTTGTAACTGTCAAAAGCGAGTAAAACCGCAGCTTCAAGTTAGAAACGTCAAGATTTTTACCAAATCATGTGAAATACAGCAACGTAAGTGGTTTTCCAAATTTTCTTCAGGTATAAGAGGACAAAAGGTGTAGAATCTGTATAAATCAGCACCACTAAAGGTACTGATATGCTAAAAAAACTTATTCTGTGAGTTTCCCAGCTGGTCAGAAACAGTAATGTCGATGCCAATACTATGAGGAATTTTGATCACTATGTAGGGTCCAGTGATCAACGAGGGAGGTTCAACAACATACTGAATTCGGGTGGTCCCAATGATTTTTTCTTGAAACTGACCCCAGAAGAAAATTTGAAAAACAAGAACCTTAGCTGATACATATTTCGGAATTTCTCCAAAATGCAATCGTGCAGAATCCACCACGATATCCTTACTACTTAAAAAGTTAGCATCAAAATTTTCTTTTATAAACTTGAAGGTATATTTAATTTTTGTTTTAAATCATCAATTAAATTATATAAATAGTTGATGAATCATGTTTTTAAAATACGATATTATAAATAATTTTTTTAATGGATCATTTGATTACGACGATTAGATAGCCGATAATAATTTAATTATGTAAGTCAGGTGAGATTAAATAATTTGTGTTGCTACTATAGGAAAATCCAAGGTTTTTGTTGACCAAAATATTAATAATTTCTCATCGCCTAATTTTAAATAATTAACATGATATGACGAAAACGTATAAATGTTTATATAAATATAAATAAACTTTTTTTCTGATTAAATCTAGAAATAAATCAGAAAATTTCAGTTTACAACGCCATCTCATGGTAAAATCATAATATATTTCACCTGTAACAAGTAGATAGCTTTAAATATAAATTTTGTACTAAAATTAATGATTAATGTGTGTTGATTTAGGTTTGTATTCAAACAAAATAATTCACGGTTAAATAATAAATCTTTTTTAGGAAATGTGTGCTGTTTTAAATAAATATTTGATGAAACAACAGCCCCAAATTGGAAAGTAAACGAGTGGGTCTTTATCTCCAACAAATTCTTTATAAAAAATTTAAAATGTAAATGTTTACATAATGCGCAAAAAGTTTTGACAGAATCTTTTATTTATATACTTAATTTTAATTAAAAAAAAATAAATAAAAAAATTAATTTGTACAATTTTTTAATAACAACTTTAAATTTATTCAGTTTTAACAAGATTTTCTGCAGCAGCTCCAGCCACGATATCTTTAACAGCATTTTTAACGCTTTCTTTTCTCGTCTCAATGGAAGCAGTTACTTCTCCATCATCCGCATCTTCATCAACTTCTTCTTCTTCTTCTTCTTCCTGTATAAGTTGTGCTGTTTCTTTTTTCTTGGGATTTTGCCTTTTCTCATCGCCGGTTTGCTCAACGAGCGTTGATATTGAAGTTATTCCTTGAGCGGCGTTAATATCAGAAGCAGCGAGAGGGCAACCTTCTTGTTGCGTTTTAATAAAGAAAGTTCTATTTATGCGGAATTTATCCAAGACGCCATAAGCTCTTTGGAGTACTTGAGCCGATGGTAAACGCTCGCGAGTTAATAACCAAGCATTTTCTGCCAAAAAAAATTGTTTGAATTGAATCAAAAATTTATTTATTTTTTACCTGCGTGAACTGGTCCTAATCCAGAACAACTCCAAACAACAGCATAAGAATCGTAATCGGTGTCCAAAACGACTAAATTGGTTTCTGTTGTTATTGGTTGTTGGTATTTAACTTGGATTCTTCCTTGTCCTTCTCTTCCGGTTTGTTGGACGTTTCCGTTAATGACTCGTTTAACTCCGGTTCTAATAAGGATTAAAATTATTAAAAATGTTTTTAAAAATTGCTATCTTACAATCGATTTGTGTATTCGCTGGATACATAAATTCGTCCAGTTGCTGTTTGGGCATAATCGGTAACGACACATCTTGATGCAACGTCTGTAAAGGTGAAGTAACGTTCTGCTTCGTACCATTTCCCTAAGAAACGATTCATATCGAAATTATCCATCGGGGTGTAATCCGGGCAGAAGCCCAATCCCGGAATTTGGGCATTAACGATGACACAAACTGTTAAAGACACGAACAGACTTAGAGTACTCATCTTGCGTTGTTGCGATTTGGTTGGGTAGAGTTGTTCTCTGCTGAAGAAGTCCATCGGCGGTTTATATACGGGTCGATCTTTTCCTGGGTACCGTTATACAACAAACCATAAATCAGAGGCGGATTGAAACAATTTTTATTTATACTTTATATTTGTAATTAAAAAAAAATTTAAATTAAAAGTATAAAAGAAGATTTAAATGATATAAACGCTAATTATTAAAAATAAATTAAGAAAATCAATTAAAAATTATTTTTTTAATTTATAGAAATGATTAATGTTTATTTTTTTTGTTTCTTACTAAATCCCACTCTGAATTAAAATGATGGTTGATGCGGGACCCTCAATAGGAAGCGTAAAAATATTTCAATTAGCGATTGTAAACTTATTGAGTATTGAGCAACACCGGGAACCGTTTCTATCGTTCGATTATTCCATATTCATGTGTTTACATACGCATTTAGCGATTTTTCTTGTCAAACTCACCGCGATTTTCTGACTTCTTGCCAGAAAGGCAATGCCCTTCTGTAACCTTGTGCGCTCCTTACATCAAGATTACTTCTACTACAAGATTAAGTATGGGTAATTTCGCTTTAAAGATCTTAATCTTAAAAAAATGTATTGAATTTTGTTATTACAAGAACACAATGATATAAAATTGAGAATTATATAAGATAATATTTCGTATAAAAGGTAACCTTAATTTATTATTTAAACGATGCCCGAAAAAATAAATTAAAACCAGATGGTCGAAATTTCTGAATTTGTTTAATATGTGTAAATCCAATTGGCGTTATCATTAACCTAGATTTATACGCAAATGTTGTGCTGGAGCTATTTAGGTTGGGTTGGCAATTCAAAAACTACTGTTAAGTAAACTAAATGAATAAAAGATTCTTCTTTGAAAATCGTACAAGACTACTTGAGTGGCAAAAAGTTATTTAATAATTTTGTACTAAAATCTAAGACGAAGATATCTTCTAGAACTCAAAATTTCAAGATTTAAGGAAATTATTTATTAATGTTGTGTGATTTAACGATTTCAAAACGATGATGTATTTAGTAAGATAACACAGAGAGTTTCGTTTTAATACTTTGTTGTTGACTTTGCACATAATCAAAATAAATTGTATATTTTTTTGGGTTTAAATTAAAAATTCGGGAAAAATCTTTATGAATTTTTCACAATATTTTAATGAAAGCATTCTCTTTCTAATGAAGAAAACAGTTTTGCAAAATCACTTTCATTTTCTGAGATGTTTTGTTCTAAACATAATCAAAATTTCTGGTAATTCTTGATATTTTTGGGTTAACTCTAAAAAATTGGGAAAAATTAACTTATAGGAAAATCTTCATGACTTTTTCACCACTTACTAATAAAAGTCTCCTCCTTTCAATGATAAAGCTCGTTTTAAAAAATCAGCTTTAGTTTCCGAAATACAATGTTTTAAACATATTCGAAATTGTAATTTTTAAAAGATATTGGTTTAACTTTAAAATATTGGGAGAAATTGATTTCTGGGAAAATCTTCATGAATTTTCCACCATTTATTAATAAAAGCATTCTCTTTCTAATGAAGAAAACAGTTTTGCAAAATCACTTTCACTCTCTGAGATGTATCGTTCTAAACGTAACCAAAATTTCTGGTAACTTTTAATATTTTTGGGTTAACTTTAAAAAATTGGGAAAAATCAATTTACAGGAAAATCTTCATTACTTTTGCACCACTTATTAATAAAAGTGTCCTCTTTTCAATGATAAAACCCGTTTTGCAAAATCACCTTTAGTTTCCGAAATACAATGTTTTGAACATATTCGAAATTGTAACTTTTGAAACATCTTGGATTAATTTTAAAATATTGGGAAAAATTGATTTCTGGGAAAATCTTTATACAATTTTCACCATTTATTAACAAAAGCATTCTCTTTCTAATGAAGAAAACAGTTTGGCAAAATCACTGTCACTTTCTGAGATATATTGTTCTAAACATAATCAAAATTTCTGGTAACTTTTAATATTTTTGGGTTAACTTTAAAAAATTGGGAAAAATCAATTTACAGGAAAATCTTCTTGAGTTTTGCACCACTTATAAATAAAAGTGTCCTCTTTTCAATGATAAAACCCGTTTTGCAAAATCACCTTTAGTTTCCGAAATACAATGTTTTAAACATATTCGAAATTGTAACTTTTAAAACATCTTGGATTAACTTCAAAATATTGGGAGAAATTGATTTCTGGGAAAATATTTATGAATTTTCCACCATTTATTAATAAAAGCATTCTCTTTTAAATGAAGCAAACAGTTTTCCGAAATCACTTTCACTTTCTGAGATATATTTTTCTAAACATAATCCAAATTTCTGGTAATTTTTAATATTTTTGGGTTAACTTTAAAAAATTGGGAAAAATCAATTTACAGGAAAATCTTCATGACTTTTTCACCACTTATTAATAAAAGTGTCCTCTTTTCAATGATAAAACCCGTTTTGCAAAATCACCTTTAGTTTCCGAAATACAATGTTTTGAACATATTCGAAATTGTAACTTTTGAAACATCTTGGATTAATTTTAAAATATTGGGAAAAATTGATTTCTGGGAAAATCTTTATACAATTTTCACCATTTATTAATAAAAGCATTCTCTTTCTAATCAAGAAAACAGTTTTACAAAATCACTTTCACTCTCTGAGATGTATCGTTCTAAACATAATCAAAATTTCTGGTAACTTTTGATATTTTTGGGTTAACTTTAAAAAATTGGGAAAAATCAGTTTACCGGAAAATCTTCATGACTTTTTCACCACTTATTAATAAAAGTGTCCTCTTTTCAATGATAAAACCCGTTTTGCAAAATCACCTTTAGTTTCCGAAATACAATGTTTTGAACATATTCGAAATTGTAACTTTTGAAACATCTTGGATTAACTTTAAAATATTGGGAGAAATTGATTTCTGGGAAAATCTTCATGAATTTTCCACCATTTATTAATAAAAGCATTCTCTTTCTAATGAAGAAAACAGTTTGGCAAAATCACTGTCACTTTCTGAGATATATTGTTCTAAACATAATCAAAATTTCTGGCAACTTCTAATATTTTTAAGTTAACTTTAAAAAATTGGGAAAAATCAATTTACAGGGAAATCTTCATGACTTTTTCACCACTTACTAGTAAAAGTGTCCTCTTTTCAATGATAAACCCCGTTTTGCAAAACCACCTTTGGTTTCCGAGACACAGTGTTTTAAAGATATTCGAAATTATAACTTTTAAATTATCTTGGATTAATTTTAAAATATTGGGAAATATCGATTTGTTGGAAAATCTTTATGAATTTTTCACCACTTACTAATAAAAGTGTCCCCTTTTCAATGATAAAACCCGTTTTGCAAAATCACCTTTAGTTTCCGAGATACAGTGTTTTGAACATATTCGAAATTGTAAGTTTTAAATAATCTTGGATAAACTTTAAAATATTGCGAGAAATGGATTTGTTGCAAAATCTTTATGAATTTTTCACCATTTATTAATAAAAGCCTTCTCTTTCTAATGAAGAAAACAGTTTTGCAAAATCACTTTCATTTTCTGAGATGTTTTGTTCTAAACATAATCAAAATATCTGGTAACTTTTAATACTTTTGGGTTAACTTTAAAAAATTGGGAAAAATCAATTTACAGGAAAATCTTCATGACTTTTTCATCACTTATTAATAAAAGTGTCCTCTTTTCAATGATAAAACCCGTTTTGCAAAATCACTTTTAGTTTCCGACATACAATGTTTTGAACATATTCGAAATTGTAAGTTTTAAAACATCTTGGATTAACTTTAAAATATTGGGAGAAATTGATTTCTCGGAAAATCTTTATGAATTTTCCACCATTTATTAATAAAAGCATTTTCTTTCTAATGAAGAAAACAGTTTAGCAAAATCACTTTCACTTTCTGAGATATATTTTTCTAAACATAATCAAAATTTCTGGTAATTTTTAATATTTTTGGGTTAACTTTAAAAAATTGGGAAAAATCAATTTACAAGAAAATCTTCATGACTTTTTCATCACTTATTAATAAAAGTGTCCTCTTTTCAATGATAAACCCCGTTTTGCAAAACCACCTTTGGTTTCCGAGATACAGTGTTTTAAAGATATTCGAAATTATAACTTTTAAATTATCTTGGATTAATTTTAATACATTGGGAAAAATCGATTTGTTGGAAAATCTTTATGAATTTTTCACCACTTATTAATAAAAGTGTCCTCTTTCTAATGAAGAGAACAGTTTTGCAAAATCACTTTCACTTTCCAAGATATATTGTTCTAAACATAATCAAATTTGTTGGTAACTTTTGATATTTTTGGGCTAACTTTAAAAAATTGGGAAAAATCAATTTACAAGAAAATCTTCATGATTTTTTCGTCACTTATAAATAAAAGTGTCCTCTTTTCAATGATAAAACCCGTTTTGCAAAATCACCTTTAGTTTCCGAAATACAATGTTTTAAACATATTCGAAATTGTAACTTTTAAAACATCTTGGATTAACTTCAAAATATTGGGAGAAATTGATTTCTGGGAAAATATTTATGAATTTTCCACCATTTATTAATAAAAGCATTCTCTTTTAAATGAAGCAAACAGTTTTCCGAAATCACTTTCACTTTCTGAGATATATTTTTCTAAACATAATCCAAATTTCTGGTAATTTTTAATATTTTTGGGTTAACTTTAAAAAATTGGGAAAAATCAATTTACAGGAAAATATTCATGACTTTTTCACCACTTATAAATAAAAGTGTCCTCTTTTCAATGATAAAACCCGTTTTGTAAAATCACCTTTAGTTTAGGAGATATAGTGTTTTGAACATATTCAAAATTATAACTTTTAAATTATCTTGGATTAACTTTAAAATATTGAGAGAAATTGATTTCTGGGAAAATCTTTATGAATTTTCCACCATTTATTAATAAAAGCATTTTCTTTCTAATGAAGAAAACAGTTTTGCAAAATCACTTTCACTCTCTGAGATATATTGTTCTAAACATAATCAAAATATCTGGTAACTTTTAATATTTTTGGGTTAACTTTAAAAAATTGGTAAAAATCAATTTACAGGAAAATCTTCATGACTTTTTCATCACTTACTAATAAAAGTGTCCTCTTTTCAATGATAAACCCCGTTTTGCAAAATCACCTTTGGTTTCCGAGATACAGTGTTTTAAAGATATTCGAAATTATAAGTTTTAAATTATCTTGGATTAATTTTAATACATTGGGAAAAATCGATTTGTTGGAAAATCTTTATGAATTTTTCACCACTTATTAATAAAAGTGTCCTCTTTCTAATGAAGAGAACAGTTTTGCAAAATCACTTTCACTTTCCAAGATATATTGTTCTAAACATAATCAAATTTGTTGGTAACTTTTGATATTTTTGGGCTAACTTTAAAAAATTGGGAAAAATCAATTTACAAGAAAATCTTCATGATTTTTTCGTCACTTATAAATAAAAGTGTCCTCTTTTCAATGATAAAACCCGTTTTGCAAAATCACCTTTAGTTTCCGAAATACAATGTTTTAAACATATTCGAAATTGTAACTTTTAAAACATCTTGGATTAACTTTAAAATATTGGAAGAAATTGATTTCTGGGAAAATCTTTATGAATTTTCCACCATTTATTAATAAAAGCATTCTCTTTCTAATGAAGAAAACAGTTTTGCAAAATCACCTTCACTCTCTGAGATATATTGTTCTAAACATAATCAAAATTTCTGGTAACTTTCTATACATATATTTGGGTTAACTTTAAAAAATTAGGAAAAATCAGTTTACTGGAAAATCTTTATTACTTTTCCACTACTTATTAATAAAAGTGTCCTCTTTTCAATGAAGAAATCAGCTTTACTAAATCACCATTCATTTCAAAGACACAACGTTTTGAACATAATTAATGCACCATTTAATTTTTGAATTAACTTTAAAACAATTTGGAAAAATCAGCTGAGTGGAAAAATTTCATGACATTTTCACTACTTATTAATTGAAGTGTCCTCTTTTCAATGAATAAGGCCGTTTTATCAAATCACTTTTAGTTTCCGAGATACCGCGTTTTAAACATTTTCGAAATTATGACAACCACACCAAACAATTTGATTCAAGGAAGGAGTCTGGAATATTCTCCGCATAAATAAAGAACTCACCTTGTAAAAGCAAGAACGACACATCCAGGACATACATAAAAGACCCAGAACGAACCTGCAAAATTTTTGAAAAATTTTCGAGCACCTTCTTCTTTGACGTGCTGCCATTAATTTCTACTCAGCAAAGAACTAGGTTATCTCCACTTACGAATAAGAGACTTTTCTTGATTTGTGACCTCGGGGTTGTCTCAAGGGCCATAAAAAATGTTTCAATTATGTATGCAATAATATAAATATTGAGGTTTGTCCATTAAAAACTAGTTAGGCATCATCCCTACATAGTTCTTACATGAAATGAGTGAGATGCCTACAAGGGGATTACCACCCATTAAACTCAAAAATGGTGGCCTTCAAATACCTAAATTTTTTGTTCCTCAACATGATGCAAACACACAACCAAAGCTTTGATCGCAACAATAGCAGTAACCACACTTTTATATTCTATGACTTTGCTTTCAAAATGCGATACAAACCGGTATCGATTACTAAAAGAAGTACTACGAGATCTTGATTTCGCCTCAGCAGCAGTGAACAAAGAACAGTATCTACGGATATTCACAAACGAAGAGGGCAGGGTGTTGCCAAAGTTAACAATAGTCAAAATAAAAGTAGTTCAAACCTTTGACAATTGCAAAGAAGCAATTTGGTATAAGCTACTCTGCTGCATAACTATCACATCAGACGCTTCCGATTTTACAATTGGAACAGTCCTGGATTATAACAACCACTGAGATTCTTTTCCAGAAAGTTGAGCACAGCGACAGATTTCCTGGCAATATACGAAGCAATTCACATAAATCATATACGTGAGATATACGCAAGATAGCCAGATATACGCCAGTCTTGAGTTTCTGATTAAGTGTTCTGGTATGCTGTTGTAAACTTATTCTCTATCTAAGACCAAGTTAAGTTAGGTTTGGGTGTTATGGCATCTCTTATTTGCTTCTGCGTCACTGATTCGGGTTTGTACAGTTTCAGTTTTAATTTACTGCAATTATTTTACTTCGATTGGTTCTGCTTGAGGTTAATTTATCGTTATTATGGTTGCTTTTCTTCTTCGAAAAGCCCTCTTTTCACAGTTTTGATTTTGGTTTTTTCGCGATTTAAAAAAAAAGTGGAGATAAATTATTAATTTTATACAGCTATTACATTTTTGGTTGAGTTCTTGATTTTATCACAAATTTAGTTAACCAAGTATTTATGATGAAATCAATTTATTAGTTTCTAACCAACCACCATAAATCCAATTATTATTATCGTTTCAAATGCAAATATCTTGATGTAGATTTATTACGCGCTACGCTAAGTGTGTGTCACATCCTGTGTCTGCAAATCATAACAACCGGGAGGAAACCGAGAATTTACTCTATGTTTAATCATGATCTCATCCCCTAATTTGATAGTAAAATTTTTTTATTGTTGCGAATTTAAGAGAATATAATAATCTTATATAAACACTTGTTAATAATTCAAAATTAAACCGTTACATAACAGTTGATTAAAAAGATTGCCCTGAAGTTCACCACTCATCAAAATTTAAATTAAGTTAATAAAATATAACATTTTTAAAAAGCGACGATTAATATATATTTTCTAAACAATTAAACTAATGAGATAAGATTTAATTTTATTCCGTATTAATCCACTTAAGAAACCTCTGCAACAATTCCATGACGAATTTCGCAGCTCTATCCATAAATCCATCATTGGGTTTTTTTACTTCGGTGAATACATCCTCGTCATCTTCCATTTCGTTTATAGTTTGCCGTTTTTGCCTGGTTAACGCATCTGGATCTTCTTCAAATTTAGACATTAAATTTTGAAATTGTTTATCTTGTTCCAAAAATCCGATGAATTTTTCGGCGAGATCTCCATCTTTTAATTCGGCTAAATTCGAAGTGGGTTTCTAATAAAAATTGAAATTAAATTAAACAAAAATAAATTGTTTTGAAGACTTACAGCTGATGATGGAGCGAAATAAAAAAGGCAAACGACCAAACAAATAACTTTCAAATCCATTTCACTTTGATTTTCTAATGCAAATCGACCGGATGCGAGTCCGTGGAGAAATGTGACATATTTTGGTTGGTAATGTTTTTTTTTATACGTAAATCGTTCCCTAACGCTGATGTGACCACAAATCCGTGACCATGGCAGTGGAATTATATAATTAGCAAATTACCGGTTGACAATTTGCGAATTGAATTGATGGTTACGCCGCATTGCACTTCCTGTTTTATTGAAAAAATGGTTCATATACTAAACATGTTTCGATCAAACGCTGACTAAAACTATACATTGGAAATTTGATGACTATCAATTCCAAAGATGATATAATTACGAGTTAATGTGGAAAAAAATCTCGAAAACGAGTATACTTTGATGAAAAGTTTAGGAAATTTTATGTTTACATCACGCTATTAGAAATTAATTTGATCCCAAATCTATAATTTTCTAAATTACTACGTTGATTTTGCAAAAACACGCAATAAAACATCAAAATAAGCATCGTTGATTTTATCTTGAATCTTTCAACAGAAAAGTCATGTTAAAAATTATAATCTTATCCCTTATCCTTTTTAAAAGTGTAAGTTTTTAACTACAATTAAAATTAATGATATACAAGAATTAATTAATTAGGCTCATTCGAAATGTGAGAAACCAAAATATCTTTTGGATAACGAACAGGAATGTTTAGAAATAACGACGAGCGTCTTTGAAAGATTTTCAAATTCCGCCACTGGCGTTTTTAACATGGCCAAGAAAAAATTGGGGATCGATTACGAAGAAGAACCGTTGAAAGTAAATTAATTTACGTTTTATTTTATACTTTTTAATAATTTCGTTTTAGTGTAGTTATTATTTATGCGTACTTCACAATTTAAAAATGGTGACGGAATCGGGAATTTTAAATGAGGAATTAATCAAAGAGTGGATGGAGGGACACATTCCTGGGGATGTCCAAGAAGAATTTACTAAATACTCAATGAAATGCAATGAAGATGCTACGAAACGTAAATAATATTGTTTCTTGCTCTGAAACTTAATGTGTTATCTTGACAAAAACTTTATTCCATCTTTTTATAATTACCCTATTAGCTGATTTTATTGTTGAAATTAATAATACGATGCTAACATCTACACAGTATCTGATTTGAAAAGAAATCTTTGATGTGGTAGTATCAGGGTCTGTATGGGTTTTTCTGAAGATGTTACATAGGTATTGTTTATTTGGTATACAATAGGACCAGTTCTTCAGGTAAAAGACATTCAACAAGTTTTATTAACACCTCTAACCAATGCGAGTAATATATTAGAACTTAATTGTGGTATCATCAGGATTTGATAGATTTATTCCTAAATGTTAAGTGTCGACTATGCGTTGAGAAACCAACACAGCGTGTGTAAATTGACTTTTTCCTGCTCCATTGACAAGTACTCTGCTAACATATTGTAATATTATTAGCTGCTAGTCCTTTATGCCTTCCTTTGTTATTCAAATCTTTTCAATCGTGATATTGTCATTTTGTCTTCTTGAAATTCATTCCTCTTACTAATAAAGTTATATAAGTTTACGCTAGTCCAAGCCAGATCAACTGCAAAGTTTGTAAGAATTCCAACCTTTTCAATATTAGTTCTGCTTAACACTCCAGCCACTCCAGTAGTCGCGCCTCCGGTTACTACAAGAGTGGGCGCATCTTTTAGATGACTTTTCAATGCATGCAAAATATATATATATTTTTCTATGATGCAAAAGTAATAACAGCTTAGTCCAGGCAGACTATCTACGTCAATACTTAGATGACATGCGACTATTGGAGAGTTAAGCAATAGTTGAATTCTGTTTCAATGGGAAATTTTTCCAGTGTAGTCATCAAAAAGTCTAATCCAGTCTAAAATAGTATGGTAACTTAGGATCACCTTAGGATCCGGAGTAGGCATGGACATTAGTGGACCAAATAGCCGCATTAAATTACCCCTCAGCTTGGAGATAACCATTTTTCAAGCAGAAGTTCTTGCTATAAACTTCTGCACCGTTTTGAACCTACAAAAGCGACAGAAAGGTGGATCCATAAACATTTTCACAGACAGTCGGGCAGTCCGAAAGGCAATTCAGACCTACACGTGTGACTCCGCACTGATCAGAGAGTGTACCAGTAACCTGAAAGAACTCGCTAGGGGCAATGATGTTATTCTATGATGGCCATATACTGGAAAGAACTTCCAGGTCACAGACAAACGAAGAGTATGATAACTCCGTCGCAAAACAAAACCAAAGAGGTTTTATGCCTCAGCAAAGGGGACCTACGAACGCTCTTAGGTTTCCTGAGCGGCCATGCGCCCCTAAAATACTTGTCGACTTTGCAACGACGAGTCAGAAATGGCTGAGTAAAGCTCTTTTGACACCGACCGACATAAAGGAACAAATCCTTGGAGCAATACTAAGGTTCACTACATTTACCCTAAACTTTTGGATGGCCAAAGTTACAATAGATCTGATAGGTCGCGGTGACGAGAGAGGCCGCTCCCCTTAGCAATAATGATAATAATAGGATCAGCTGGCGTTTTTGTTACATACTTTAGTAAAAACGCCATAATCGCATAATTAATTGTCTGTATTTTGGGCAACATAAAAACGAATTTTTGAAAAGAAAATCCTGATTTGAAACCTTAGTAGCGCAATGACATGAAGACGGCGACGTCCCATATACAGCCGCCATTCTTCACATTTATACGATATTTTCGGTGGTGGAAATATAAATAAATCCATTGTTGAGTTACATATATTCTCCGTAATAGTGTATTAATGCCGGTTCTGGACCAGGAGCGGCTCCTGGTGACGTCACGCTCCAATGTTATAAGTATGCGTGGCGCAAATTTATTTAGTTACTTTTTTAAAAAACTCACCAGGTGTAGTTACTTTTCCAATACCAACCTAAATGTAGTAACTTTTTAGCTCCCCAGATTTAAGTTGGTCACTTTCCCTATACTTATAACATTAGAGCGTGACGTCACCATTAATACACTATTCTCCGTATTGGATTCAATCTCAACCGACCTCTTCTTAAGGTTGGATTTCATGGCCCAATACGAACAGTGTAGAAGCAGTGCGTGCTAGACAAAACCCAACAATCAGCTTATCGTCCTATGAACAATAAGGTGGCCATAAACCATATACGTGCCAGACATCTTAGCCGAAAAGTTGTTCTTTTCATGGGAACAAACGAACTCCGCGACATTTTCGAAAAAATACTGACTTCAGGAATTGCTTCTACCTAAAAAAAACATTTTAAAACAGCTACTAATAATAAACGCTATAGGTATTTTATTCCTACCTTTTCATGTAGGATCAAATAACTTATTGAACTTGCAAAGATTAAAGTTATAATGTATCACAAAAATCTCGACAGCGAACACTTAAATCCTAATGCCTATAAATACATATAGAGTGACTTTCACTTAAGATGCAGTATACAAAAATATATTTCCATAGAAACCAGGGCGTACCTACTTACTTTGTCCCATACAAAATTCAACATTTCAATATAATTTGACATTACAGTAATACATCAATATAATGCATATTTTTATTGCACTAAAACTAGGACTAACACTAGATCTAGAAACATTCGGGTTTAGCTGTGCATCTTCACACGCTAAACCCGATACTTTCTAGTTGTAGTGTTAGTTCTACTTTTAATTGTTGTTTAGCGTTAGATTGTGGTGTATTTTTATTGCACTAAAACTAGAACTAACACAAGACCTTGATTAATCCGGTTTAGCCGTCTTGAGAGAGGTGCGGCAAAATCCGAATGTTTCTAGTTCTCAGTCTAGTATTAGTTCTAGTTTGCACTAGCACTAGAACTAACACAAGACCTAGAATCATTCGGGGTTAACCGTCGTGGGAGACGTACGGCTAAACCCGAATGCTTCTAGTTGTGGGTTAAAGTTGCTTCGTAAGGTTACTGCATTCATATATTGCGAGTTATACAAGGTGTCACAAAAATGTTGGGCTGGCTATACATAGACGGTTTCTACAACTAAAAATGAGCAAAAAAGTTTATATAAACATATGTCCTAAAACAGAAAACGGGAGTTTTTAATGTAAATCATAACAAATGTTCAAAATGACCTCCACAGGCAGCAACACACTGCTGAGCTCGTCGTATCATGTATTGCCTCACGCGAACAAAAATACCTGGTGTATTTCGAATTTGCTGCCACCTTCCACTCTATGTTGAAGATCCTCACTATTTTGAATTGGGGTAGAATACACCATAGATTTTAAATGTCCCCATACGTAAAAATCGAGAATCGAGAATTTAAATCGTGCAGGTCACGCTACAGGTCCACCACGTCCATGCCGTATATCCATCTTCCAGGATATACGGCATTTCAAAATTCGCGTGCTGGGAGACTGAAGTGAGCTGGCGCTCTGTCATGCATGAACCACATGCGTTCTCTAACATTTAGCGGAACAGCTTCCAGCAAACCTGGTAAGTCGTTTTGTAAAAAATAACGATAATTCTGCCCAGAAAGTTGTCGGGGAAGTACAAAAGGACCAATCAAGAAGTCGTTGATAATTCCTGCTCACACATTTAACGAAAACTGCGTTTGATGTCTCGACTGAATAATAGCATGAGGGTTTTCTTCTTGCCACTGGTGTAAATTATAATAATTGACGATACCATCTCTTTTAAAGCCAGCTTCATCACTAAAGAGCAGACACGATCGGTGGCGCATTTCTGTAACAACCATACACAGTAAGCTTCTCCTGATGGGAAGTCATTTTCACTAAGTCCCAGTACTCTTTGCAAGTGGTACGGATAAAGCTGATTAGTTGTTAAATCCGCCACACACTTACATCATCGACCAACTTCCGCCAATGCAATTCTTCGAGTACCTGCATTTTCTACAACACGATCCAACACACGTTCTTCCAAGTCCAAAGTTCTTGGTCTGCCGCGACATCGGACTACTGGTTTGAAGGATCCTGTTTCCCTTAATCTAATATGAAGCCTTTCGAACGTTTTTTCATGGTCTGCGTAAAGTTTTCTTGCTTCTATTCTGTTGCAATGTGTCAAACCATACATTAAATGCATGTAGGACATCTCTTTAAAAGAATAATCTGCCATTTTGTACTAGACTGAAAACAAAAAGCACGGACTGCCTACTTAATATTGGTCTGAAAAGCTTTAAGTAAATTTCTTTAAATTCACCGCTATAACTCAGTAACGAAGTTTATATAAACTTTTTTGCTTACTTTTAGTTGTAGAAACCGTCTATGTATAGCCAGCCCAACATTTTTGTAACACCCTGTATAAAATTCCTGATATAAACATTATAATCGGATCTTATCAATTTCTTACAATATAATATAAATTTTCCTTAACTTATTATATATTTCAATAAGATTTTATTTTAGTTGCAGATGTCTCAAACTGTCAAAAAGCCACAGAATTTATTAAATGTTTATCTCAATATGAAGAAGTAAGAATAAGTAACAATGACTTAATTAATTTATTAATATATTAAATTGTTTTTACATTTTAGTGTAAAATATTTAAATTTCCTTAATGCAACGTTCTTAACCACCATCTAAAAAAGAAAAACTCAACCAGTGTCAACAATAACAAAAAAGTTAATAAATTACTTAATAACCAAGAAAAATCTTTATTATTCTCATTAATTCTTTTTTATTTCTACCTACCTAAACGAACAAAATAAAACTTCTTAAAAAATTAAATAAACAAATTTTCCTTTCCATATCAAAATATTTTCACATACTAAAAACCAAAGAAATAGAAAAAATAGACACATAGAACATTTATTTAGTAGCCTGCTCCAAATAGGCGATCAAATCCTTTCGATCCTCTGGCTTCTTCAACCCGGCGAAAATCATTTTTGTACCCGGTATGAATTTCTTGGGATCTATCAAGTATTCGTCGAGGGTAGCGGCGCTCCAAACGACTCCTTTTTTCTTATTCGCCTCCGTGTAAGAAAACCCAGCAGCAGTTCCAGATTTTCTTCCAATAAGACCATGGAGATTTGGACCAACTTTGTGTTTTCCCCCAGATTCCGTCGTGTGGCATTGAGCGCAAGCTCTTGTAAAAATTTTCTTGCCTTTTTCAGCATCACCCATTTTCTTTACTTTGAATTTCTAATTCTCATTAATCAGATCTTTCAAAATTTTGACATTTAAATTACTAAAGTCAACTTGAAAAAAAAATAAAATAAAAAATTAATAAAATTAGGTTAATAAATGATCCAAACACCCAACATGTGTATATTTATTTATTAAACATATTTACCTAAACATACACAATTATAAATGGTAAAATTACACAATCACGCCACACATTCCGATCTGAGTGAAGAGAGAAAAAAAAATAAGTTGATTCCATATGGTTAATAATACAAAGAAATAAACCAAAATTATTTAAAAACAAAAAAGAAGTATTGCGGAGCACCTTACCGGTTATTTTTGATTTTAAGAATAACAAAAAGTGCTTTCATATAATAAAGATGTGTATTGATGAAAAACAAAGCGATTTTAAGCCGTCTTGGCACGTATAGCGGCACGTTTCGATGTAACAGCCTAAAAAGAATCATTTTTATCATAAAAATATTTAAAATGTATAAATTAATTACCTGAAAACCAGATTTAATGCTAGCTACGGAACACCTTGACCCACAAGTTTCACATTGTAAGAAAAACAATCTAGTATCTTTTTGAAGAATCGTATCGGGCGATCGGCATGTATGACAAGTAACGTATTCTTTAATATACCTTCTCAAAACATTTTCTATTTGTTTCTGTTGGAACCTCCCTTTAATAATCAACTGACTATTACCATCAACACTTCCGCTTGTACCCAATTCAGCAAGCAAAAAATCAAGTAAATGTTTAGGTTGACGATGAAGCGTTTTACAAATTTCGGTAAAATTGGCGAATGATGTTTTCTTCGTTCCAATTCTAACGACTTGTGGAGGTCTCATTACGAATTTTTGTTTCTTTCCAGCGACCATATCCGGGTTTTTATCCCGCATTATGTCGAAGACGCGATTTAAAAGTTCATCGTAAGTGTAATCTCGATCGGATGATAACCATTGTGAAGAATTTTCATCTACTGCAATAAAAAAAATATGCGGTAATTCCCCGACTTACGCTACGCCGTTTTACGTAAATTCGGAGTTACACATGGTGCTCGGATTTACGACAGGTTCGCACGTGTTTGTTGTGCGCGGAAACTTTTAACAAAACGTGTGAATCGATTTTAATGTTGTCCAAACGAAGTAGAACAGATACTGATTCATTTGCATCAAAAAAGAAAAGAAAATTATTATCTTTGGAATGTAAACTTAATATTATCAAACAGTTCGATGCAAAAATTAAAATTTGTGAATTGGCAAAGAAGTTTAATCTATCGGAATTAACAGTCAAAACAATTATAAAAGATAAAGAAAAAATTCATCATTCATAAATATCATGGTATTATCGCTCAGATGGAAACAATGTTAAAAATATGGTGTGATAATGAAGTAAGAGTGCGTATTGTCCAAGAACAATACGCCTCATTTTGTAAACTTGTAAGTACCTACATATTATTATTGTTTGAATTTGTATCAAGTTTCCTCCTTGATTGTATGTAAGATTTGTTTGATGAAACATGTTCTGCTTCAGACTGTTAAGGATAACATCGTTAATTTTAGTTATGAATATTACTGCCATCATACAAGTTACAAAAGGGTTAGTGCAACACAAAATAAAATAAGGAAGTCAAAAAATTGCAACTGTAAAGCAAGCATTAAGGTTCATATAAAGGTTACAACTAAACTTATTTAATATGTATAGGGGTTGTCATCCATATTGGTGATAATGTTAAAATAAAAAAGAAAAACCAAAATAAATGGTCAAACTACTCCAATATATTTTCCTTTATTAATTAACTCTACCGGTTTCGGTACGTGACCATCATCAGGAGTCTTCAAATCAACTACATGTAAAACAAAACTATTAAAAACAATACTTATATTACCTTGTCAAGTTAAAGGTGGGGAAACTCGTCTTGAAACATTGTTCATTCAACAAATAAAGAGATTAACAAAATTGTTCGGTATGCCAATACACATGATAGATGATTCAAAATGATATCAAAAAAACAAATTAATTAAAACGAAGCACATATAAAACAAATTTAGGATTATCCTAAAAGATCTACGTCGTAATCGAGAACACGTTAAAAAGGTTTAGGCACCTTTAACTTGACAAGACTCCTGATGATGGTCACGTACCGAAACCGGTAGAGTTAATTAATAAAGGAAAATATATTGGAGTAGTTTGACCATTTATTTTGGTTTTTCTTTTTTATTTTAAACTTATTTAGTTCTTAGATATTGCGATTGTGTTATTCATATAGTAAGGTGCAAAAATGTTTCCATTTCTATTTTTAAGACGGAATGCCAGTTGTAATATTTATTAATGATAAACACAACCATAACCTAAATTCCGCCGAAACACTTTCGTATTTACATCCATCTCAGAAAACAATTTGAGGAATACTTTGAATGTGATTTTGGAATAAAGGAAGCGATCAATTACCATGAATCGAAATTAGACTTAGAATATGGACCACAAAATGTGAACCTTGCTAAAGCCCAACTTAACCCAAGTATCGTTCAGTGCAGTTTTGGTATGAAAATTGGGTAACTAAAAACTTAGGTTCACGTTTTGGAGATGCAGTTTTACAGGTAAATTGGAAAATGAGTTGTGCATTTTTTTTTAGATAATTTCTGAAAAGTAAGAAGCATGCAATCAGAAGAAATAGTTGTAGAGTATTCAGAAAGGCCATTCGCTCTTGTAGTTGTAACTAATCTGATGCAGAGAGCACATAAGTTTGCCTTTTTCCAAAGATATTGTATTCGTAGATAACACTTAATCTTGCGATGCCTTAAATAATTGCTTAACTTTTGTTCTGACACCTTGCCAAATTGAAACGGTGCCTTTGGCAGTGATAATAACTGCCGGTCAATCAGTAAACGTTTAGGAAGCTGGATTTCAGCTTCTGAAAGACACGGTGCCAAACGCGTTTTGTAATCAAGGTTTTCCTAAGTTATTTATTAGGCAGAAGATTTTAAAAAGCAGATGATTTTGATGCTGAAAGAAGTACACTAAAAGCTGTATGTAAAACTCTACTTTGTTGGTTCCAGTCTATAGGTATCTCAATCTATATGGCGATGGTTGTGGGCCATTGGTATAATATTATGACTGCAACTGGTCGGGTCCACGCCCTTTGGCTAGATCCAGGGTCATAATCTTTTAATACTAGTCGTTTCAAAAGTCGTTGTAATTGGGATACCATTGCAGGAAGTAGCTTTGAGGATCTAGAGATACTCAAGGCAATGATAGAAGAAAGTGGCTGAAACTAGGTAGATGAAACTGGTTTATTTTGGAAAAAAATGCGTAAAAGAACATTTATCGAGCGCGAAGAGAAAATTTTTCCAGGTTTTAAAGCCGCCAAAGATCGATTGACAGTGAATGCTGGCGCGAATGCAGCTGGTGACTATAAATTAAAACATCTTTTAGTTTATTGCTCATAAAATCCAAGAGCTTAAAAAAATAAATCTAAAACTGGGTTGCTCATGATTTGGAAGTGGAATGCTAAAGCTTGGGTGACAGCTTCTCTTTTTGAAGATTGGTTTGGTCATCACTTCATACCTGAAGTCGAACGTTATTGCCAATTAAAACAAATCCCATTCAAAGTGATTTTATTAATCGATAACGCACCGTGAAAGTTATATTTTTGTCACCAAATACAACCTGCTTGCTTCAACCGATGGACCAGGGAGTCGCTAAAACATTTAAAGCGTACTACACGAGACGATCGTTTCTTTCTGTTAAAGACTTTTGGAAGCAATTCAATGTTTTAGACGCCATGAGAATTATCGGACAATCTTGGAATGAAATTTCACAAAAATACTTTAACCCTTTGTGTCCCAAGAAGTTAAAAATTTTGAAACTTTGTGACAGAATTAAAACGCTATCAAAATACACTCAGTAAAGGCCTTTGGAATCAATTTTTAGCAATATATGCAATCTCCCCATTCCAGGGGGATAATGATACTTGAGAGTACCGTCCAGCATTAAAATATATTTTAATGATGTTGCAGTACTTATACAAAAACTTTTATTACTAATATAAAAATAATACATTTTTTATTATGTTAGAAAATAAGCAACACTTGCTTTAGCTAAATCACATTATGATATTCAGAAAAACAGTTCTTTCTTTCATTACAACATAAATAAACATTGCACGCAGTACATTTTGAGTGGGGTCTAGCTTNTTGCCAAATTGAAACGGTGCCTTTGGCAGTGATAATAACTGCCGGTCAATCAGTAAACGTTTAGCAAGCTGGATTTCAGCTTCTGAAAGACACGGTGCCAAACGCGTTTTGTAATCAAGGTTTTCCTAAGTTATTTATTAGGCAGAACATTTTAGAAGGCAGATGCTAAAAGAAGTGCACTAAAAGCTGTATGGCCTTCTTCAAAAACTCTACTTTGTCGGTTCCAGTCTATAGGTATCTCAGTCTGTATGGCGGTGGTTGTGGAACAAAAACACATTAAACAGTTTCAAAACATTTTAGTCGCTTCCACAGAAATTCAAACAATGCATTTCATTCAGTATTTCTAGCTGCCGACTCTTTGCCTGCGTGGAAACAGTATTTGACAGATTACTAATAGAATAGAAAAGAAGATTAGTGTTTAGCTTACAGAAATTCAACAACTCATGGGTATCAAACAAATAATTTTAGCGAAATTAATGTCAGATTATTTAAGGATATAGAATCTCAAGAAATAAGGCATATAGTGCAGTCTCACTAGTACATCTCTATTGCACAGCTGAGAGAATATTATCTGCGAAATTTCATTCACCAAAGAGACGCAGAATGCTTTTAAAAAGATATCTGGAGAAAATCAAATATTTAAAAAAAAGATAATATCCAACAACTGCCCAATGCTTTCTTTTCCATTCTGGAATCTATTGTATGATATAAATTCCATTTTGGGTGAATTTTGCAGTTGTCCAGTTGGTAGGTTAGGATCATTTTGTAAGCACCAGGCAGCTGTTTCATATTATTTTCGAGCTAAGTCTTTAAACGCTCCAAGTGACAACATAGAATCAAGGTATTTAATGGCCCAGTTGGTATTTGGAGAAAATGCTCAGCCAATGGATTTTTTATACCATTTAAAAATCAACAACAAAACATGTCAGAACGTGTCATGTGTTTTCTTTAATGTATATTAAATAAATTAAATAACTGCTATTCTTTGCAAAAGAATAAAAATATGTATGCAAAATAATTGCAGCAATATTTAAAACATTCTGACCCTTAATCTGGCTATCAGCACAACATTATGACTCTGAAAATAGGAAGGTGACTGCAATTGGTCGGGTTACCATGCCCTTTAACTAGATCCAGGGTCATAATGTTTTAATACTAGCCGTTTCAAAAGTCGTTGTAATTGGCATAGCATCGCAGAAAGTGAAAAGGCGACAAGCGCTGATAAAGGCAGTCTCTTTATCCACAGATACTCAAGGCAATGATAGAAGAAGATGTCTGAAACTAGGTAGATGAAACTGGTCTATTCTGTAAATAATAAATCTAAAACTGGTTTGCCCGTGATTTGGAAGTGTAATGCTTGGGTGACAGCTTCTCCTTTTGAAGACTGCTTTGGTCATCACTTCATACCTGACGTCGAACGTTATTGCCAATTAAAAGAAATCCCATTTAAAATGATGTTATTAATCGATAACGCACCAGGTCATCCTCCTGCAACTCTAATTAATTTCGACCCACGTGTGAAAGCTGTATTTTTGCCACCTGCTTGCTTCATCTGATGGACCAGGGAGTCATTAAAACATTTAAAGCTTACTACACGAGACGATTGTTTCTTTCTGTTAAAGACTTTTGGAAGCAATTTAATATTTTAGATGCCATGAGAAATATTGGACAACCTTGGAATGAGATTTCACAAAAAAAAATTTAAATAGCGCCTGGAAAAAATTGTGTCCATTTTTTTTCACCACTGAAACCCAGGAAGAATCAACGCCAGATCCTGATCAAATTGATAATGTGATTGAATAAGTGATCGATCTTGCCAGACAATGGGATGGTGATCACGTTCAAGAACTGTTGGATTCACACAATCAGGAGCTGACAATTGATGAGCTGGTAGAAATGCGTGAGCAAGATGAAGAGCAAGACATTGAAAGACGTTGCAAACTTGACTTCAATTGAAAAAGGATTACAAATTTTAGAAAAAATAGACTCCAATGAGATGCGTTCTACTACAAAATGAGGAATAAAACATTTGTTAGCATTTTAGGAGGAAATTTAGCGTGAGAAGAAAAAAATTTAACTCGTCAGACGAGATTATTAATTTTATGAAGCTTTCTATGTCAAAATAACTTCCCTTTACTTTTTTGTAATAAGTACATAATAATATACTTTGTTGTATGTATTATCTAACAGTTTATTAAACATTTTTCTTCAAAATTATTGTTTTCTTTAGTCTCTGGTCCCAGTTGAACATAACTTGTACACTGTGTTAAGTAATTATCGCAAATTGTACCAATACTGTGATATTGGTTGCATACTTGCAATGTGAAGTCAGGAAATCCAGGAATAATCAACGCCAGATCTTAATCAAATTGATAATGTGATTGAACAAGTGATCAATCTTGCCAGACAATTAAATTTAGAGGGGGATGGTGATGACGTTCAAGAACTGTTGGATTTACACAATCAGGAGCTGACAATTGATGAGCTTGTAGAAATGCGTGAGCAAGAAGAAGAGGAAGATATTGAACAATCTAATTCTTTAGACCTGGTTCAATCAGAAGATCAAATGAAAGTTGCAAACTTGACTTCAATTGAAAAAGGATTGCAAATTTTAGAAAAAATAGACTCCAGCGAGATGTGTTTTAATACAAAACGAGGAATAAAACATTTATTAGCGTGCTATGAAGAAATTTGCGTGAGAAGAAAAAATTTAACTCGTCAGACGAGATTATTAATTTTATGAAGCTTTCTATGTCAAAATAACTTCCCTTTACTTTTTTGCAATATGTACATAATGATATACTTTGTTGTATGTATTATCTAACAGTTTATTAAACATTTTTCTTCAAAATTATTGTTTTCTTTAGTCTCTGGTCCCAATTGAACATAACTTGTACACTGTGTTAATTAATTACAAATCGCGTTTGGCAATACCAATACGTATAAGTGATATTGGTTGCATACTTGTAATAATGACCAAAAGTATGATAATTAATTAACACACTGTATGTATTTATATGCATTATTGTATTTATAATTATATTACTGTATTAGGATAAAATTATTATTATTAAAGTAGTTAAGGAGATAAATCTGCGAAAATTCCAACATAAATCTTACCTGTTTCTGGTAAATTTTCAACTAAATCGCAGCATGTTAATTAAAATAAAAATTGTAAGTATTTAAATTTAAATTAAAATATATAACTAAAAAATTAACAATTAAAATAAATACCATTCTCTTTATCTTCTTGAGTTTCCTCTGTTTCAGCGATCAACTCATTAAAATCCTTCTTTTTAGTTTTCTTTTTCTTTTTCGTTTTGCTAAAATCCATTTCCAAATCTAGGTCATCATCCATACCCTGATCGTCTTTATTTCCAGGATCTACACCTTCCTCTTTATTATCTTGTAAAGCCCCCTCAAGTTCCTCCATGTTAAAGGGCTTCTTCCTTCGTTTCTTTTTCTTTGTAAAATCCAGATCCAGGTCCATATTACCGTCATCATCCTCCTCCTTTTTATCAGCTTCACCTTCAACTTGTTGTGCAGTGGTTGTGGTTTCAGCCCCATCGGCATCTGCTAAAGCTGCATCTATGTCAAAGGTCTTCTTTTTTTTCTTCTTCTTTTTTAAGGTTGGGTCAAAAATCTGATTTATAACAAAAAAATTATGTTGAGATAACACTAAATTTTTTGTGATTAATTAGATAAAATAATTTTAAAAAAATTAAAATGAAGTGAAGGGAAGTGAGAACATGTTTTTACATAACCTATAAATTTCTGTTGACGTTTTAAAGGTACTTACAGCATCGTCTTCTGCCATTCTTGTATCAATATGAACTGTTCGGCGTGTTATTTACACAAACGTTTTTGTAAATTTACTATTAATGATGAAATTTATTTGGAATAAAGGGAAATCCTTAATCAGTTATTGCATCAGCCAAACAGACATGCCACATGTAAGTGATTAATTTTTTTCAGGTTGGCAACTCGTTTTCATCCATAGAGAATCGAGTGACAACTGTATAATCCCCCACTACTCATGTAATACAGGACGCCATATTTTATATATTAATTTAGCGGGATATTTAAAATATTTTTATTATTCAAACAATAATAATTATATTATCTAACATTTAGTCTAATTTCTGCTATTTCAGTAGCATTCTTTTATGTTAAAATCACAACATATAAAAACAAATTTTATTTAGCTATTTTTATTTATACAGGATGATTCAAAAAACCGCTGACAGACTTCTAGAGTAGATAATACACGAAAAGTTAAGATGAATAGTCTTAATATACATGGGGTCGCAAACGCCTCGTTGGCGAGATATAGCGGATCAAAGTTTCTTTAAAATTAAACATTATCTGCTATAAAAAGCACTTTTTTAAAAATATTGTCGCCATTGCTCTCTACGCGTGTAAAGTGATCAATTATCTATCAATTGGTCTCTTACAAAACTTTGATGAAAGATAATAGTTTTTAAGGAAAACACGTTTATAGAAAATTTGTTAATTCAATCAAAATCTGTTGCTTTAATCAAAGTTTTGTAAGAGACCAATTGATAGATAATTGATCACTTTACACGAAAATACAATTTTATTGCAGCTGCTTTTTATTGCAGATAATGTTTAATTTTAAAGAAACTTTGAACCGCTATATCTCGTTAAGGAGGCATTTATATTAAGACTTTTCATCTTAATTTTTGATGTATTACCTGCCCTAGAAGTCTGTCAGCGGTTTTTTGAATCACCCTGTATGTGGGAATGTTTAAGCTTCAATTAAAAGTAGTTTATTACCCTAAAATTCATTAACAAAAATGAATTGACACTAAAACTTTTTCATCCTTACTGTGGAGATAAGCATCGCTGGACTGAGTGCTCAAGGAAGCAGGAAGCTTTTCGAAATTAGTTTCATGGATTAAAATCTCTAATCACGATGTTTTACTGGCCAAATAACCATAACAGTATTTTAGATCTGCTTTTGATATATTGTCCCTATCTATGACATTTTGCATCTGCACATAATAGCCAGTCTCTTCCTGTAATATATTGATCCTAACATTGATGTTTTGTTTCTGCTAACGATGTGCAAATGACCATGACACTGTTTTGGCCTATAACATTTTACATCTGCCCGCAATAGGTACTTATTCTCCATGATATTCAGTTCAATATCTACTATATTTTGCTACTGCACATAATATTCTGCTTAAAAATGACCATAATATTACTTTTGCTATTAATATATCGCTTCTTCGGCTGAATATTTGCTTCTGACTATGATACACTGTAGACACAAAACGATTAGAAAACTAAATATGGAACTTCCAGTCAACATCCAGTTACAGTGTCGTATTATACATAATAGTAGTTTATCCCATCATATTATAGATCTGCAGAAAAAATCTCATCTTTGCCTTTGATATATTATCCCTATTTATGACATTTTGCATCTGCACATAATAGCCAGTCTCTTCCTGTGATATATTACTCTTAACTTTGATGTTTTGTTTCTGCTCACGATGTCTTGTTGTACAAATGACCATGATATTGTTTTGGCCCATAACATTTTACATCTGCATACAATAGTTAGTCTCAGTCCATGATATTCAGTTCAATATCTATGATATTTTGCTTCTGCTTACGATATTTTGTTATGCAAATGACCACGATAGTTTTTTAGTCCATCATAATTTATAGTTACACACAATATCTGATTTCTGCCTTTGATATATTATTCCTATCTGTGGCATTTTGCTTCTGCACATAATGGCCTGCTTTAAAATGAACATAATATTACTTTTACTATTAATATTTCGCTTCTTCTGCTGAATATTTGCTTCTGACTATGATACACTATAGACACAAAACGATTAGAAAACTAAATATGGAACTTCCAATCAACGTCCAGTTATAGTGTGGTAGTACTTTAGGAACTCTTTATACCAGCCATTCTTTCTTAGTTTCCGCGGTTCGTTTCGGATCATATCTTGTTGTAACATAAATGATCTTGCAACATTTTTAAATAGTCGTTAGGTGTCATTCTACCTTCAATTAAGTGTAAATCCTCTATTCTATTATTCCCCATACAACCCTAAACCATGACCAAACCTATTCTATACTTAATGGTACACCATGATTTTTTTTTCAAACCTTTATTTGGTTGCCGCAGCGCAAATTAACTTTACTTTCCAAATAATCATAATAGTATTTTATCCCATCATGTTGTAGATCTGCAGAAAAAATCTCATCTCTGCCTTTGATATATTATCCCTATCTATGACATTTTGCATCTGCACATAATAGCCAGTCTCTTCCTGTGATATATTACTCTTAACTTTGATGTTTTGTTTCTGCTCACGATGTCTTGTTGTACAAATGACCATGATATTGTTTTGGCCCATAACATTTTACATCTGCATACAATAGTTAGTCTCAGTCCATGATATTCAGTTCAATATTTATGATATTTTGCTTCTGCTCACGATATTTTGTTGTGCAAATAACCACGATAGTTTTTTAGCCCATCATAATTTATATTTGCACACAATATCTGATCTCTGCCTTTGATATATTATTCCTATCTGTGGCATTTTGCTTCTGCACATAATGTTCTGCTTTAAAATGACTATATTATTACTTTTGCTATTAATATTTCGCTTCTTCGGCTGAATATTTGCTTCTGACTATGATACTCTGTAGACACAAAACGATTAGAAAACTAAATATGGAACTTCCAGTCAACGTCCACTTACAGTGTGGTAGTACTTTAGGAACACTTTATACCAGTCATTCTTTCTTAGTTTCCGCGGTTCGTTTCGGATCATATCTTGTTGTAACATAAATGATCTTGCAAAATTTTTAGATAGTCGTTAGGTGTTATTCTACCTTCAATTAAATGGAAATCCCCTGTTCTATTGTTCCCCATACAACCCCAAACCATAACCAAACCTGCTCTATGCTTAATAGTACACCATGATTTTTTTTTCAAATCTTTATTTGGTTGCCGCAACGCAAATTAACCTTACTTTCTAAATAATCATAATAGTATTTTATCCCATCATATTGTAGATCTGCAGAAAAAATATCATCTCTGCCTTTGATACATTATCCTTATCTATGACATTTTGCATCTAGACAGTCTCTTTTTGTAATATGTTACTCTTAACTTTGATGTTTTCTTTCTGCTCACGATGTCTTGTTGTACTAATGACCATGATATTGTTTTGGCCCATAACATTTTACATCTGCATGCAATAGTTTGTCTCAGTCCATGATATTCAGTTCAATATTTATATTTTCAATATTGATATTTTGCTTCTGCTCACGATATTTTGTTGTGCAAATGACCATGATAGTTTTTTAGTCCATCATAATTTATATTTGCACACTATATTTGATCTCTGCCTTTTACTCTGTAGACACCAAAGAAGGATTTGTAAGCTAAACATGGAACTTCCAGTCCATCCAGTTACAGTGTACTGTTTTGCAGTGCCCATCCAGTTGCGAAATTTTTAAATAGTTCTTGGGCATCATTCTATCTTCAATAAAACGTAAATCCACTGTTCTATTGCTCCCCATGCAACCTCAAACCGTAATATGATTGTTTAATACCGTAATATAACCATGTTTAATAATGCTCCTTAAATTCTTTTTCAAGTCTTTGTTTGGTTGCCGCAACACAAATTAATCTTACTTTAATCAGAAAATGTTGCTGTTTTTCATTGTTTGAGCAAAATAATGATATGCTTTCTATTATTTATGCTAAATTTATGTTTTTTTGAGCTTATGAGAGTTACTGGATAGTATTGAACTAAACTAGCAGAAAAATTTACAAAAACGAATGAACCAAAATATATTTTTGCTATATTTTCAACTCAAACCATCAATATTTAATCCACAATCAATAAATCAAATTAAAATTGATAATATGAATTAAAATGAATAAAATTATTCCAAAATTCTTAAAAGTTAGGTTAGAATTAATAAGTGTCAGAATGCGCCATTAAAAAATGATAGCCTCGATACACAGAATATAATCCCCACTTTTTATTTTTAAATGTAAATAATTTTTAAGATAATTTCCAATTTTTATGTATTTATCGAAAATCTCATTTTAAATTATTATTTATATTAAATTAAAATGATTAAATTAATAAATAAATTGATTTTATCGATTTCCCCCTCCTCAAAACGTCGAGTTTTCCCACTTCATTACATTAATTGATAAATGACAGCGATGAGGTTTTTTTTGACATTAGATCGCTCAGAACTGTCAAGAAAGTGACGGCGTGTAGACTATGTGGAGGAAAACGTGAAAATAATGCGGGAATTCTTTTCGTATAAATGTTAAAATCGCTGTGCGTGTCTTCTATGTGTCGGAGGCGACATGTGAGAGGAGCAAACGTTACCGTTTTCGGTCATTTTTTTAGTCAAACAACGGTAAAAAGACTGTTAGTTGGTAAGTAGGGGGACGTTACCGTTTCTGTTCTGGCAAAAAAAAAACTTCGAAATAATCGTGATCGATTTATTAATTTTCAAATATCATTTCATCAATAAATTTAAATTTTAATAGTTTCTCGTATATTATAATGAGTTGAACCTCTTCTTTTCATTCATTCATTCATTCTGTGGATGCACAGGATGTACATTGTCAATTTATTTTATTTTTCTCTTTCGTTACGTGTGTTGTTATAAAGCGTGTTCGTGTTTGGAAGACGTATCTGGCTTCTATTCATATTTTTTTTCTGTATTTTTATTTATTTTACGTGATTATTTTTTTTGTGCACGTTCAATATTGATCGTTTTTAATCAAAAACGATAAGCAATTAAGTTGTTAATGAAATCGCTTGTTAATTAGAGAAAACGACGTGTTGACGCTTTTTGAACCACTTTAAAATTATGATTGATTGTGATTTACAATTTGTACATGAACCACTTTTTAAATAATTATAAACGACACATTTTTTTTTTAATTTTTTGCAATTTGATTTAAATCTCTTACTTATAATACTTTACATAGATGGCGCTAATATCTTTTACAGGTCCCTGCATCAAAGTTTATGAAGAACTGTCAAAAAAAAATTAATAAGTTTATTTTTGTGTTATTGAGTTTGTTTGAAAAGGCTTTCATACAGTTGCTCACAAAATTGAGTATACAGTTAAGCAAAACTGAGTAAGTTTAGTTCGGTATACAAATTTCATTTAACTTCTCCCCATAAATATTCAATAGGATTTATATCCGAAGACTGTGGTGCTGATTTTAGTTATTTTAAAGTATTGTATAATGATCATTCCTTCACTATGTATGATGTATGTTTAGGATCATAATCTTGTTGGAGCCAGAGCACAGTAGGAAGGTTGAGTTTTGAGAGCTTTGACAGAAATTACGTTTTAAAACATTCAAATAAGAAAATTTTGTCATATTTCCCTCAATAAGCTCTATAGTTCCAACGCTGCTGGCTGCCATTGATCCCCACAGCATTACTGAACCACCCCCATGTTTAACTGTTCCCAACAAATTCTTGTTTTTGAGCTTACAATTTGGTTTCCTCCAAACTTCCGTCTGGACCTCATACATTAATTTTAGTCTCACCAGTAAACATTACACTTTCCCAAAAGCTTTGGGGCTTATTTAGATGAGCTTTCGCAAACTCCAAGCGCAGTCTTCTATTTATTGTATTGTAGATATAAATGGTTGTTCTTTCTTTTGTACCGTGGAATGAGATCTTCTAATAGTACCAATATCTCTAAAGGATTTACCTTCAGAATATAGCTTCACCACGAGTTTTCTTATTTTTAAAGCTATTTCTCTTCGTAATGCGGCCATTGAAATTATGAAAATGAGCCTATGTGATTCTTTTATTTGGAAAAGTGGATTATTTTGCATTCAATTTAGTTAATAAGCTTGCTGTTAATATACATCATCACAAACTTTAAAATAAATTAATAATTATATGAAATATACACAATTATGTATCTACTATTATTATCAGACCTTGTTCTAGAATGTATATTATAAGTCAAGAAGGTCAGTGTTCGTTGAAACGTTTTACAAAATTATGCTCCAAAAAGCGGACGTTTAAATTATTTAATCCATTTAATTTAAACGGATTAAATTCTTAGCGAAGGCTTTCCTGGTTTATAAAAAGTGTGTTTTATATAAATATGCTAAAAAATCCTTTATTTACTCATAAAAAAAACACGTGACAAAACTGAATATGTTGTGTAATTGTAAAACAATACGCTATCTCCTTCCGGTTTTTGTACGCGATAACGATATTGGAATTTAAATAACGCGTACGTAAATTAGGAATGAAATTCATCGAATTAATTGTGAAATGTTTGTTTTTGGTCGATATTAAATTACTTAATTTAAAAAAAAAGATAAATAAAAAGTTTAAACTTTCTATTTCTTTATGCCAACATCGTTAATCTGTAGACACGAGAGCCGGTTTAAGGCACGTGCTATTTTCACTTCGGTCGGATACATTAAGACCCCCTTTGGTTTATACAATCCGACGCCCACTCTGTAAATAACTGGAATGTTTTGGTTTTAATAAGTTTTCTTTGAAATTTAAGCTCTGTATTGGTTTAAATTTTACATTTTTGAACACAAATAGAACTCAATACGAAGGAAAGAAAGTCATGCAAGAGTCTAGCAAGATTTAAAATATAATCAAAAAAGTGCAGAAGAAAACAAGCAAATAACATAAGAGGATAGCTAGGTATAAGGTAATTCTTTAGATGCTACCTGCTAGCCAGATGTGGAAATAACGACGGACGCATACTGAGATGCCCTAAATACCCGACAAGTTCGACAATTCATTCTGGATTGTGGCCCACATCAAAAGTCTCTTCTATACAGATGGACGTTTATGCCCGTGTTGATTTTGCACATCCAAAAACGTACAAAATCCGCAGTTTTGCTTAGTGTCTGAACGATGTCCAAGGAAGAGGTTGACTTAGCGTTGGCAGCAGTGGCGTGAGCTAATGTACTCAAAATGAAGATTAAAAACATATAACCCGCCGCGTGTGGTGTAAAAATTGGCTTCTGCAACGGCAAACGTTTTCTCATATTAACCTATTGGCAGAACTGACAATAGAACCGGATGATTGGCGTAATTATCTTACGCTTCTTAGACGAAGATACTTATTCGGTACTGTTGAAGATTGTTCTCCATTGATACAACATCAAAATACAATTATGAGACCGGCAATAAGTGTACACGAACGATTAACTGCAACCCTAAGATATTTAGCGACTAGACGAAACTACCAAGATTTGAAATTTACCACTGTCATATCTGCACAATCCTTATGTACAATAATTCCGGAAACATATGAAGTTATATATGAAGTGCTGCATAAAGAATACATAAAGGTAAAAAAAACTTTTGTTTTAGAAAGTAACAGAAGCATGATTGGGTATTATATTATATAATATATTAATTGTTCATACAAATCATGTGGGACTATACCCAGAAAAAATGCATTGCAGTCGTATTATGCCGAAGATTCAAAAGGAAACTGATAAGTTAAGTTATTTGTTGCTAATTGGTTCAAATCGTGATGATTAAAGGTGTTGCTGCGTCCTGTTGGCTGGATGATTTTTGTTATAATTTTCGTATTTTCGGAAACTTTTCCAAGTTCTGCTTGGAATAATAGATCATTTATTAGTTTTTCCATATAAATCTTGGTCTCTGCTGGCAATTTCCGAAATTTCGAAAACTCGTAGTCACCAGGATTATTCAATCTTGCATTAACAACATTCAAAATTTGATCAGCTTTGTCTACAACTGAGGTAGAATTTCTTTTCTTAAATCTCTTTTTGGCCGATGAATGATGCATTGCTTTATTTGGTGGTACTGATAATGCTGATAAAGGTCGGTTGCTGTCACTAGTACTTGTAGATGGAGGTGAAAGCAAATCCACATCCAAATGACTTTCATCGTGTGGCTGTAACAACAAAACAATTTATAACCAACATGTATCATTTTCAGTTCCCTAGAACGGAAGAGGAATGGACAACTGTTGCTGAAGACTTTGAGAAACGTTGGAATTTTCCTAATTGCGGGGGGTGGTAAATGGTAAACACGTTGAAATAATACCACCACCAGGTAGCGGAGCATATTATTATAATTACAAGGGCTACAACAGTTTAGTTCTTATGGCCATATGTATATGTGTGTATATGCCATATGTGTTATAAGAAACTGAAAAACGGAACTTTGCATCTACCAGACTCAGTAAATCCACAGAACAGTCAAAGACAACTGCCATTCGTTTTCATTGGCGATGAAGCATTTGCATTACGTTCTGATTTCCTAAAGCCCTATGGCCAGAAAGATCTTAATCATGGCAACAAAATTTTTAATTACCGATTGGCATGGGCACTAGGTAAAATTGAAAATACATTTGGCATATTAGCAGCATGATTTCAAATCTTTTACACTCCTATCCGGTTACGCTTAGAATCAATAAACAAAGTGGTACTGGCTTGCTGTGTACTTCATAATTTTTTAAAACGAAGCTGCCCTAACATATACACACCACCTGATTCTGATTTCAAAAAAAAAAATTGCAGTTAGGTCTGAAAGCTAATCCAAGTCACCTTGCTCACCTGCAACGTAGCCATGGTAGAAACTTTGGCAGTGAAGCAAAGCAAGCGAGACAATTATTTATGTATTTTAATGTAGAAGGAGTTGTATCATGGCAAGAGCGAATGATATAGTGACAGCAACAGTCTGCGTACGTCATTAAATAATTGTATTTTTAACAATTAAGGGTTCATTAATAAGGTAAACAACGACTACTTAAAATTTTTTTTTCTTACCTCTCAGTCTCAGCAACACTATCACCTTCCTCTTCTGGTTCATTACTTTTCTCTGCCAGCACATTATTGTCCTCGTCATCACTAGGGATGTTCGAAGTCGACTTTCTAGATTTGTCCTGGTCTCGAAGAAACAAAAGTAGGTCATAGTACCACAGTGAAGGTACATATGTTCCCTACGAAAACCTCCTCGAAGACTGTTGATTTTAGTTATAACTGATGCTTCTTGACCAGCATTTTGTAGGCGTCGTTTTTTTTATTTTTATCTAAATATTCTATACATCCTGATTCAGAGTAAGCGCCTTATTTTTTTTAGCCACACTATGGGTACTACTTTCAAAATATTTGGCAGTAATAAGTTTTGGGTCATTCTCTACACGATGGTGATGCCACATTTTCAATTGGAAGAATTATTTCAAAATGGCGACTGTCAACTTTTTTTTAAATGGAATGCCAAAATTTTTTTTTTATTATTGAGGTCCTAAAAACATTCTTTATACGATAGTATTTTGTTTTTCTTAAAAATTCATTTCTTTCCCCATCAAAAAGCACACATTTTAATCTAGTAGCGCATGAATGTTTTACACTCGATGTTATTTTTGTCCAAATATCAAGTAGCGCTAGACACAAAAGAAACAATTAAACTTTATTTTGTAATAAACATCTACTTATTTATTTATTTTGACAAAAATAACATCGAGTGTAAAACATTCATGCGCTACTATACTCTGTTTTTAAACCAGGAGGAGTAAACGCGAAAGTCAGATTTACACTAGGAAAAATCACCAGAAAATATCACTAGATATTTTGGCGGTAAATTTAAATTAATAATTGTTATTATTTATTTATTTACTTATTATTGTATTTATTTTCGTTTGTTATCGTCAACACTATACATACAAATTAACATTGAAGTTATGAGTGTATTTATTTCAAAATATAATAAAAAAGGGTTTAAGAACACAAAATATACAATAATGACACGAAACTGTCGAATTATCAATTACCTAACCTTCAAATTCAAAATTCAAATTCAAAATTGCCTGTGTGTGAACCTTCCTCGCATTCAACCAATCACGTGCAAGGTCAATCTGGTGACAAATTTAAAATACTCCTCCTGGTTTAAAAACAGAGTATAGATTAAAATATTAGGTTCCTTTTGGATGGGGAAAGAAATGAAGAATTAATAAAAAACACAAAATACTGTCGTAAAAGGAATGCTTTTAAGATCTCAATAATAAAAAAAAAATTTTGGCATTCCATTTAAAAAAAAAAGTTGACAGTCGCCATTTTGAAATAATTCGTCCAATTGAAAATATGATATCACCAGCGTGTAGAGAGTGTCCTAAAACATATTACTGCCAAATATTTTGAAAGTAGTACCCATAGTGTGGCTAAAAAAAAATAAGGCGCTTACTCTGAATCAGGCTGTATAAATATAGTGGTTTTTACATGCCACAGACAGGGCAGTTCCCTGTACATTTCAAGGAATTTATGCAGAAAATCACGAGACAGTGTTCTACAATCAGACATTCTACAAAACAAGACATATCCGAATCAAATTTCACAAACATGGAACTTACTTGGACACTGGACGCTACTGATGAACGTCACACAATTTACATGAACACGTTGAGACTTGAGAGCGAATCCCTACAGCCGACAGAAATTTTGTGCATCGTTATTTTTGAGTGTGCACTCAAACATGTGACGTTCTTCTGCATACACATTAACGTTTTTGTATGTACGTTTTTAAATGCGCATACATCAACGCGGTCATATACGCTCATATTCTGCTCGGTCTCTAGCAACTTTCCACCTTTTGGACACTTTTAGAGCCTCGTCGTCAATTCATCGCGCACATTTCTTCTTTCCTCCGGTTTAGCTATCGTGACTTTCTTAATGGCCTCCGAATCTGTTTTGGCCCTGTTCGATGCCTAGTTCATGGTTTTGGCTCAATCTCTACGTCTGCGCTCCGTATGTAAGGAGCGGCTTCACTAGCGTCTTGTATATTGTTATCTTTTTCCTGCAGGTGAGAGTTCGTGAGCAAGAGTGTCTCTGAAGACTACGAAGACACCTGTTTGTAATATTGTGTCGTCTGCATTTTCATCCCTGCATTTAGTGTTCATGAGAAATTCAAGGAAATCCAAGAAATTACGAGGATATCAAATTTTATCACAGCGTTAAGGAAGGCGGATCTATTAATACGCCGTTTTAATGTCTAAAGCGAACAAACAGCTGGTGCTTATAGATGTTATGTTTAAGGCTCTCAGATTTTGCCGCAATGAGTGATTGCAATGAATTTGGTCGAGAATATTTTGGCGCATCTTTTAAGTGATTAAAACCACGAATGTTACAGAATATTTTTCGCGTTACAGTCACTCCGTACTGATTGCATTTTTAATAACCAAGTTATCGATTGTCATAACAAAAATCTTCAGGAAATTTTGGTTCTAGATAATAAATTTATCAGTTTTTAAACCTGCTGAACAGGTGTGGACCAGTTATCTGCTGTCATGTTTTGATTGACATTTAAATTAGTAATGATAAATTTAGTATAGCTTATGTACGCTTATACCACTTCCATATTAAGTTTATTCAGTAAAATTATGCTGAATTTCACTTAAAATGCAATATACAAAAATATATTTCCATAGAAACTAGGGCGTACCCAAGGTTTTTATACAAAAACTTATAAAAAGCCTTGGAGCGTATCTACTTACTTTGTCCCATATAAAATGCAATATGTTTGAATGTTTCTAGGTCTAGTGTTAGTTCTAGTTTTACAATAGCACTAGAACTAACACAAGACCTACAACTAGAATTATTCGGGTTTAGCCGTCTTGAGAGACGTGCGGCTAAATCCGAATGTTTTTAGTTCTTAGTCTAGTGTTAATTCTAGTATTGCTGTAGAACTGTCACTAGAACTAGAATCATTCGGATTTAGCCGTCTTGAGAGACGTGCGGCTAAACCCGAATGTTTCTAGTTCTTGGTCTAGTGTTAGTGACAGTGGTAGGTAACGCTAGTTAACACAAGATATCATTATGTCGCATATTTTTATTGCACTAAAACTAGAGCTATCACTAGAACTAATACAAGATCTAGGATGTCACCTTTTTCCAAGCAAAACATTTCCTTTACAAAACTACCTAATGCCTGTACTATTAAGGTATGTTGCATTTTATGTGGGACAGTGCAAGTGCATAGTAGTTTCGTAACTATGGTTACTGTATTCATATATTGCGAGTTATATGGAATTTCTGGTATATAAGATTGTATTATAAGATTCTGTTTGTCTATCAGTTAAATATTGCAGTTGTTGAGACATTTTGTTTTCTTATATTTTTGTGGTTGACGCTGTCAAAACATAAACCATGATGAACCTCAGTATGTATCACTAAAACTGTGTAAGAAAATATGGACGAATCATGCGAAAAATTGGATTCTTAAAAATACTATAACGTTGTAATTAATTTGATTTGCTTTAATCATTTAATACCTTCTTAATAAAGTTTAAGTTTAACGACGCGTAAGAGAGACATCAAACGCAACTAAATTGTTTATGAAATTAGACGATGTTAATCTGTAATTAAAGCCATCATTAAAATTAATGGATTTATCTAACTACTCGTTAGAGTCAGCATCATAAAAATAATAACTTCAAGAATTTTCGAATAGCTATAAACAAGATGTTTTTAACATTACATAGATTTTGATGTAGTATCAGATAAACCATATTTTTACAAATGTCAGGTGAAAAATATTACAAATATTGACAATATTAGTGTGTGAACAACTAACAGCAATATCTTGTAGTTAACAACATTCATGTTGACATATGGGGCGATAAATCGTTTGTGGAGAGGTCCAAAAAATCGCGAATTGTCACCGATAAGCTAAAATATACATAGATAAAACCGGCCATTCTCCACGTATTTTTTTATTCCATATCATCTTTCGTTCTCAATAATCTAAATTAACCTAGATCTTTCAAAAACAATACGTGACCAAACGAAAATCATTTTACAACTAACAAAGTAACACAAAATTTCAAACAACACTTATTTCAAAATCTATTTTTGGGTGCCTAATTGTTTATCTTTTCAAACGTGTTTCCTTCGCAGGTTGAGTTTGTAGACGATGTTTCCACGTTACAATGGCCTTTCTCCCGGGATGGGTTACATTCCGGAAATGGAACAAGCGATCGGTCAACTTGAAAGGGGTACTTTGGTTACTAAATTCTCATGGAGGAAAAAAGCGGAGAAGAAAACTTTATCGATACGAAGAGAAACGAGGGAAATCGTTTGGTGTCGGACTGTGACCGGTTCGAAACCTTCATATGAAGGTTCCGTACACCTTAGGGAAATTAAAGAAGTTCGTTTGGGGAAAAATTCAAAAGATTTCGAGAAATGGCCGGATGATGCAAAAAAATTAGATGATATACAATGTTTTGTGATTTTTTATGGGCAAGAATTTAAATTGAGGGTGCTTAGTTTTGCTGGTAAGTACAATTTTTGTATTGCTACAAATACATATTTATTGAAATTATTTTAAGCTTTTTCTGAACGCGAATGTGAAATATGGAGGGAAGGTTTGAGATATCTCGTAAAAGACACGATAACGTCTCCGTATCCAATTCGAGTACAAGGTTGGTTACGAAGGGAATTCTACGAAATGGAAAACTCGAGAGAATCGTAAACTTAAAAAAACCACTTACAATTTACGATTTTTTTATGTTGATTCTATCGATTTTTTAGGATATCGCTTAAAGAAATCAAAGCATTTCTTCCTAGACTGAACGTAAAAATAGCAATTAATAAACTTAGAGAGGCTTTTAATGAAGTGGATACGCGGAAACGAAACGAAATCGGTTTCGACGATTTCACTGTATTTTATCAAAAATTAATTTTTAATTTAAATGTACGTTTAAATATATAATTCCTTTTTTGAATTGAGTTAACAATCGTTTTTTTTTTGTAGGAAATAAATGATGTTTTTGATAGGTTCGATAATTATTCAGAAAATAAACTTCAAGTCACTTTACAGGAGTTTCAACATTTTTTATTACAAGAACAAAAAGATGATTTATCGAATAATGATAGAAATTGTTCAACTTTTATTTGTGATTTTTTAAATGTAAGATGAATTTACAGGATGTCCTATATTAATATGAAATGAATTAAGTATTTGGAAATAACAAAGAATATATAGTTGGTTAAGTATAGAGTATAATGTATGACCTGAGGATTTGAATTCGAATCTGGAGGACCCAATTTAGTTCATGTCATACAAACGTTTATCGCTTTTCGACTTTCACGAGACAGTTATTCAGTTCATAACGGTATCAAGCTTAATTAAGCCAAGGTTGCTTGCAGCCAAGGCGCCATCTTGATACCATCACATTCACATTTTAACGATATCAAGATTAATTAAGCCGAGATGGCTTGCGGCCGAGGCATACAACGATACCATATTGACACAAAAACTAACCCATTCATAACGATATTAAGATTAATTAAACCGAAGTCGCTTGCGGCCGAGGCAAAACATCGATACCATATTGACATAAAAACTAACCAGTTCACTACGATATCAAGATTAATTAAGCCGAGGTCGCTTGCGGGCGAGGCATAGCATCGAAAGCATATTGACACAAAAACTAACCCATTCATAACAATATTAAGATTAATTAAACCGAGGTCGCTTGCGGCCGAGGCATAACATCGATACCATATTGACATAAAACTAATCAGTTCACTATAATATCAAGATTAATTAAGCCGAAGTCGCTTGCGGGCGAGGCATAGCATCTATACCATATTGCACAAAAACCAACTCATTCATAACGATATTAAGATTAACTAAACCGAGGTCGCTTGCGGGCGAGGCATAGCATCGATACCATATTGACACAAAAACTAACCAGTTCACTACAATATCAAGATTAATTAAACCGAGGTCGCTTGCGGCCGAGGCATAACATCGATACCATATGGACATAAAAACTAACCAGTTCACTACAATATCAAGATTAATTAAACCGAGGTCGCTTGCGGCCGAGGCATAACATCGATACCATATGGACATAAAAACTAACCAGTTCACTACAATATCAAGATTAATTAAACCGAGGTCGCTTGCGGCCGAGGCATAACATCGATACCATATGGACATAAAAACTAACCAGTTCACTACAATATCAAGATTAATTAAACCGAGGTCGCTTGCGGCCGAGGCATAACATCGATACCATATGGACATAAAAACTAACCAGTTCACTACAATATCAAGATTAATTAAGCCGAGGTCGCTTGCGGGCGAGGCATAACATCGATACCATATTGACATAATAACTAACCAGTTCACTACGTTGTCAAGATTAATTAAGCCGAGGTTGCTCGTGGCCGAGGCGCTACATTGATACCATATCAAAGATTAAAGAGTAAACAAGATGCTACGCTTCGTGTCGGCACCTTTGATATAGGACTGCCATTTTTTATGACCTTGAACGCTATGGACCTTTAAATTGGTATGGTTTGTTATTGTCAGGACATTTAAATTGAAATGTCTTCTATCTCTTTTCAAAACTAGAGTTTCTCACTCTAGCGTCGCATCTTGTTTACTTATCTTGTTAAAAAACTGACCAGATTTTAACGATATCAAGAATAATTAAGCTTCTAAGATTAGATTAAGATTATTCAAGATTAATTATGTATATTATATTTTATGCAATAAGGTATCAATGTAGCGCTTCGGCCACGAGCAACCTCGGCTTAATTACTCTTGATATCGTTGTGAATGGCTTAGTTTTTTTTCGATATAGTATTAATACTATGCCTCGGCCGCAAGCGACCTCGGCTTAATTATACTTGATATCGTTAAAATCTGGTCAGTTTTTTATGCAATATGGTATCAATGTAGCGCCTCGGCCACGAGCGATTTCGGCTTAATTACTCTTGATATCGTTGTGAATGGGTTAACTTTTTTGTCGATATAGTATTGATACTATGCCTCGGCCGCAAGCGACCTCGGCTTAATTATTCTTAATATCGATAAAATCTGGTTGGTTTTTTTTATGAAATATGGTATCAATGTAGTGCCTCGGCCACGAGCGACCTCGGCTTAATTACTCTTGATATCGTTGCGAATGGGATAGTTTTTTTTCGATATAGTATTGATACTATGCCTCGGCCGCAAGCGACCTCGGCTTAATTATTCTTGATATCGTTAAAATCTGGTCAGTTTTTTTATGCAATATGGTATCAATGTAGCGCCTGGACCACGAGTAACCTCGGCTTAATTCCTCTTCATGTCGTTGTGAATGGGTTAGTTTTTTTTAATATAGTATTGATACTATGCCTCGGCCGCAAGCGACCTCGGCTTAATTATTCTTAATATCGTTAAAATCTGGTCAGCTTTTTTATGCCTTATGGTATCAATGTAGCGCCTGGACCACGAGTAACCTCGGCTTAATTCCTCTTCATATCGTTGTAAATGGCTTAGTTTTTTTTAATATAGTATTGATACTATGCCTCGGCCGCAAGCGACCTCGGCTTAATTATTCTTGATATCGTTAAAATCTGGTCAGTTTTTTATACGATATGGTATCAATGTAGCGCCCCGGCTAAGAGCAACCTCGGCTTAATCACTCTTGATATCGTTAAAATCAGATTAGTTTTTCATGCAATATGTTATCAACAAAGCACCTCAACCGCAAACGACCTCGGCTTAATTATTCTTGATCTCTTAATTAATCTAGTCAGTTTTTTATGCGATATGCTCTCCTTTGAAAAGTCTTACTTCCCGTAGTCGCAACATGGTAATCAGCGCCACCTTCTGAATATGTAAGTGTACTTGATATCGTTGTGAATGGGTTAGTTTTTTTTTCATATAGTATTGATACTATACCTCGGCTTAATTAATCTTGATATCGTTAAAATCGGGTTAGTTTTATTTATGCCATACGTTATCAACATAGCGCCTCAGTCGCTAGCGACCTCGGTTTAATTAATCTTGATATCGTTGTGAACGGGTTAGTTTTTTTCGATGTAGTATCGGCTGCAAGCGACCTCTTCTTAATTATTCTTGATGTCATTAAAACCAGGTTCGTTTTTTCATGCCATATGTTATCAACATAGCGCCTCAGCCGCAAGCGACCTCGGCTTAATCTTGATATCGTTAAAATTTGGGGAGTTTTTAAAACGCACTTTATGAAGATATGCTTTGCAGAGCGGTCAAAGACATAGTTTGGGAAAGACAGTCCAAGATGGGGAAAGATTATTCTAACAGATGGGCAGACTCCATCAACGAGGAAACATTATTAACAGAGTCTCAATGTCGCAGTTCAATATATCATTCCTATTGTCACCATTTACATCAACTTCACAAAATTTTTGTTTTCTATTTCCAAGTAACTTTTAATTACCTCTATATTCGTAATGAATTCTTTGATTTATTATTTGGGACATCCTGTACAAAAATTATAAAACTATAAAAATAAATTTCAAACTTTTTTATAGGATCCTTCTAGAAATTGCCAAGAACCATATTTTTTAACATCAGAATTTGTAGATTTTTTATTTTCTAAACAAAACGATTTGTGGGATCCATCGAAAGATATTGTTTACCAAGATATGACAAGACCTCTTGCCCATTATTGGATCGCATCATCTCACAATACTTATTTAACGGGTGATCAATTTTCTAGTGAATCTTCACTTGAAGCGTATGTTAGGTGTCTTCGGATGGGTTGTCGCTGCATAGAGTTAGATTGTTGGGATGGACCGGATGGTTTACCATTAATTTTTCACGGACACACTTTAACAACAAAAATCAAATTTTTGGACGTGATTAGAACGATTAAAGAACACGCTTTTGCAACTTCCGAGTACCCTGTTATTTTATCAATTGAAGATAATTGTTCCTTACCTCAACAAAGAAAAATGGCGACTTCAATGCAAGTAAATATATTTTATTATTTTACAAAAAATTATTTGTGTAAAAATAAATAAAATTATTTATTTTTATTTATTGGGTGGGTTTTTTAGGATGTTTTTGGATCAATGTTACTCACCCAACCTTATGATAGAAACGAACGGCATTTACCATCACCGTATCAATTAAGAAAAAAAATTATTTTGAAGCATAAAAAATTACCTGAAGGTCCAGAAGATAATTTTCTCGTTCCAAATGAAGGAAGTGATATGGATTTGAGGAATTCAATTCGAAATGGGGTTATGTATATAGAAGATGCTGTTGATAAAGAATGGAACCCTCATTTTTTCGTATTAACACAAAATAAATTGTTTTTCACTGATAGTTATCGAGGTGATCAGGTAAATCCCATTTTATATATAGAAAATCGTTAAGATTTCCTAAAAGGTCTTTTATAAAAGGTCAATTTGACATTCTATAACCTTTAAACCATCGTAACATTTTTCTATATTTAACTTAAAAATTAATTTATTTTTTTTTTAGGAATCTGAAAAATCTGAGGACGAAGACGATAATTCGTTATTAGGTCGTTCTCGTAATGAAGTAAAAGTAGAAGAACTCCATCATTCCGAACCGTGGTTTCACGGTCGTTTAGGAAAAGGTCGGGCCGAAGCAGAACAGCTTTTAAAAGCTTATTCACACCTTGGAGATGGTACGTTTTTGGTTCGGGCGAGCGTAACATTCGTCGGTGAATACTGCTTATCATTTTGGCGAAGTGGCCATGTAAATCATTGTCGCATCAAATCCAAACAAGATAAACAACAAGTTCGTTACTATTTAACTGATAATCGTTACTTCGATAGCTTGTACAGTTTGATAACGTATTATCGATCGAATCCGTTGGTTACCGCGGAATTTTCGATTGCTTTAAAAGAACCCGTTCCTCAGCCGAATAAACACGAAACTACGGAGTGGTATCATAAACACACGACGCGGTTACAAGCTGAGGAATTATTGAAAAGGATTCGGACTGAGGGAGCTTTTTTAGTACGACCTAGTGAGAATAACGCTGATAGTTTTTCGATTAGTTTTAGGTATAAAAAGTTTCTTTTGATTGTGCTTTTATTTAATTTTGATTTTTTTAGAGCAAATAAGAAGATTAAACATTGTCGAATTGAACGGGAGGGGAGATTGTATATAATTGGGACTGTTGAGTTTGAAAATTTGGTGGATTTGGTAACTTTTTATCAAACAAATCCGCTTTATAGGAAAACCAAATTGACTCATCCACTTACTGAAGATAATATAAGAAGTCTTACAGCGGTAAGTTTTTTTTTTATTTTTATATTCTCATTTATTTTCTATGATGTGTAAGTTATAAACAAAAATTTAAGGTTTTTAATAATTTCTAAATCGAGTCTATTAATTGCAAGAGATTTAAGTTTGATTTTTTAAATTCAAATTTACTTATTCCTAAGCCTCAAAAATAATAACAATAAAGAAAAACAAAATATATACAATACTTAGGTCACAATCTAAATTTAAACAGTAATTATGTTTCAATTGAAATGATTCGCGTACCTGGATGAGATCACTCCCTAGTCACCACCAAAAAACGGAATATAACCGCGCTTATTGTCCGTTTAGATATCATTGTCGTTATTGGAGAAACCATTGTTAAGAAATATCGAATAGCGCAACCGCGCTTTCTTTAAATGAATACTACGGAAAAACCGAAATGGCGCGAGTTTTCTTTTCGCAAATCAAAGACCGATTTTTAAAAAGGAACTATGGAAAATTTGGAAGATAATGAGTTTACAATTTAAAATGAATTCTTAAAATTACTTACTTAGTACTAAGGTTTGTTTCTTTGTTTGAACTCTGGGCAATGTCGTCCTCTTGTTCGGGGTTGATATGTATTGGGAATAACATCCTCACGTAGTTGGGGTGGTTCGAACCTTGGAATAAGATCCTTACTCTGTGTTAGAGTGTTGTCCGTTTTCTTGTAGGATCGTTGCAATAAAAAATTGAAATTCACCAGCGTTTATAAATGTTTTCTTTTCGCAAATCAAAGACCCATTTTTAAAAAGGAACTTATTTATTTTATTTTAAACAGACAGATGTTCACTCTAATACAATAGTTGAAGAACTTAAATTAAATTAACGTATGCGACGCTTTATATATCTTTTTCTATTCGCAAACTGCAGAGTCAGCAATTTTCTATATAAGACGCATTGGATTCGAAGCTGTAACTCGCAAAAGCTCTTGCTTTAAGCCGGTGATAACACCATCAGTTATCCACAGCGCTCGAAATGTACTGGGATTTTTCGACACAAAATGTAAAGATCGCGATTGCGCTGCTTGGGACTCGAACGGTTAAAGTTGAGATCTAAAATGATGAGTATAACCATAATCACCCCAATCCAACTCAACCCAACCCCAATCCAAAACTAAGCACATAAGTAGTAGGTATTTGCCGAACCTCCCTCCTGGACCCCAAGGTCAAGGGCGCCCGACATGACTTTAACCATAACTTCAACAGTTATGGAGTGGCCTTGACGTATGCTGCATGTCGTTGTGCTATTGATAATCCATCTCTGGGCACACTGAGACGAATGTATTCATGTAGCATAAAGGTGGAATTTGTGTCCAATAGACAAACATCTCTCACCTCAAAATGAAGGATATCGTATCCTTGCGAGTCAACTACAGTCTTTGTAATTCTTACAAAAATTAACAATGACACAGAATACTTAGAACACTCTAACTGGTGAAATGATCAACTCAGAATACAAACTGACAAACCGAACTGAAACGTAATGTTATATAGAGGAGGAGTGAAGCTTGTAATGATGAATAGGGGAAGAGAGGTTGAACTTCATTTCTATTTACTGATTTGAGAACTTCCTCTTGGAACCGCAGGGTCAAGGTCACCTCACATCTATTTACCTCTGCTTGGATCCCAAGGTCAAGGTCGCTCGGCGTGATCATGAACTTGACTTTGGATTCCTGGAGGAAGTTCGTCAATCGGCAAATACCTACTACTCACATACAAGCATAAATTAAAAATCAAGCCGTGATATAATCTATATTTGGAATATAGCAAATACTGCTGGCTGATGTCAATTCTATCCAATTCTAGCCAAAAATAGTCTTCCAAGATGACACGATAGCGATCATTTTCGCATGAAATCCACCTACACGATCACTTTTTGTGGTTGTTATGATGTCTCTTGAAGCAAATGTGGGTTCGTTGCTGTTCAATAACGCATATTTTCCTTATTGATAAAAACAAAAATGAGCTTCATCGCCGAAGATGACTTTTCGACGAAATTCAATTTTGGCGCTTCAAATGATCAAGTAGCTTCGGTTCTTGAGTTAATTTGATCTTATAAATGTGTAAGCTATCTCACACACAAAGTTATTCACAATGTGGTTTTGAGAAATTCCCACCCATGTGAAGTTACCCATAGATTCCATCCATAAACAAAACTTTTTTGTTTGTGTCTCGATTTTAATGATTAATAGCTCATTAGGAAGATCTCGTAGAATAGAGCCTACCATAGTTTTTGGCGGCGCAAATTTTGGGTGGCAACACCTTAAATTCCGCGAAAACTCTAAAACATATAAAAAAAATTCTTTAACTTTAGAGTCGTTAATTAATTGAAAACTAATTAATATAATATCAAGTATGATTACCAAATCAGAGTGCGTATACTGTCTTCTACACAAAAATGAATTTTGGTCGTCGCTAAATCATATGGGTAATTAGAAAAGTGCAACAAAACACGAACCTGTTTCCAGATGTACGTGGCGTCAGGCGGTTCTTTGATAAGCAAAATCATATCCATTAGTATAACTTTTTTGTTAATGGTCCGATTTAAGTGTGTAATACCTTTTTGGAAAGGGTTCGTCCTGTAGATTATGTCATAGTAATGGCGGCGTGAAATTCCAACAATAACGGTATTTAAACCATTAAAAACGTTATAAATAATTATATTCTTAGTCCTTTAAACATTGTTAGTAATTGTCCGACTTTTATAATAAGTAAAAACACAGTACCTATATTAATAAAATACTATAATTCATTATTATTAACGACAAGGCAACTAACTATATATTATATAATTTTTCTGTAAAGATAATAAGTATCTAAAACTCGCTACAACAATTATTTACAAAATGAGATCAATTCTGAGATCAAATCTATTTAATTGTAGTTACATTTAGTTGCTACATTAAATTGTATATAAAAATTCGTGTCACAGTTTCCTTGTACCGTATAGGGTCGTTACCCTCAATCGAATAGAAAGATCGTCTTTCAAAAGATCGATGATGTATGTAAAAATAGAAGGATTGGTAACATTTTCAAATCTTAAAATTGTTTAATTTTTACAATAATTAATATTAAAATTCAAAATCCCCTCTATAACTGCTTTGGTGACGTTTACGAGGTTTTCACGTAAGATCAAGAAGATCAACAAAACGTGCATCGTTCGGATCTCTTCTTCGAGCGCGGCATCTCGCTCATGCACCAATGAGCATCAATGATTTTTATTTCAACCAACCGCGTGCGAAACGACGGTGACGTCTCCAAAGTTTTTTCAAATTTTCATTATTTTTCTTATTGGAAAAACTAAAACTCAGTTTGAAAAATAAAAAATAAATCAATTTTACTAAACTATCCAATAATCCATTAAAAAAATAAAAATGTGTAACGGCCCCATTACAGTTTAAGGTCGGTGTCTACAAAATTCACACAGCTCGTCCAAACTATTTTTGCAGATATCATGGGCCATCTGCGAGCATTGCTTTTGTATTTAAATTCATTATGAACCTCTTCAGCGCAATAAAGACATTTTTCCTTTAATGAGTCGGAGTTTTTTTAATAAAGTTTCAATAATTATTTTTCTGTATGAATCTGCATTTAATGATTTATTTGATAATATACAGTCAATAAAATGACAGACAAGAACTCCATAATTGTAACAATCTGCTTGTAAAGGATAATCTAATTTTGGAAATTTGTTTTAAATGTTCCTGGCTGTTGTTAAAGGTCGCATTTTTGAAAACTGTTGTAGTATAACTTTCCTTTATTGAACACGGCTACTACATAGTCTTTAAACAATATAAGTGACATTGTAACGTCGTTATTGGTAATAAAACAATGACTTTTCTGGCTGATTGTCAAATTTTGTTTAATTTTTGGGTTCATCACTTTTTTAACAGCGTTTCTGTTGTTCCGTAAGCGTTTCGCTCAAGTCTCTTCTGGCAAATTTGTTTGACTTTGCGTTTATTACACATCTCGTATTAAGTTATATTTATTAGTTAGTTATGGACAATTAACAAAAAAGTTATATTTATGGATATGATTGTTTATAACCTTTTTAATCGTTTAAATACCGTTATTGTTAGAATTTTGCGCCGCCATTACTATGACATCATCTACAGGACAAACCCTTTCCAGAAAGGTATTACACACTTAAATCGGACCATTAACACGTACGTCTGGAAACAGGTTCCTGTTTTGTTGCACTTTTCTAATTACCCATATGATTTAGCGACGGTCAAAATTCACTTTTGTGTAGAAGACAATATACGCATTCTGATTTAGTAATCAGACCTGATATTATGTTAATTAGTTTTCAATTTTTGGGACTCTAAAGATAGAGAATTTATCTATATATTTTACTGTTTTACGCGGAATTTAAGGTGTTCCCGCCCAAAATCTGCGCCACCAAAACTATGTTAGGCTATACTCTACAAGATCTTTCTAATGAACTATTAATCATTAAAGTAGACACACAAACAAAAAAGTTTTTTTTATGGATGGAATTTATGAGTAACTTCACACGGGTGAGATTCCCAGTTCTTGTGAACGGCGTAGAATCGGCGTGATTTGGTTCAGTTTGTACTTTTTTTTAGATTTCTATATCATCAGATATTTTTCTTTGACATATTCTGTGATTGAATTAGTTTCAGACATTTCTCTGCCGAACCTTTTCTCAATTTCTTGAGGCAGTACACAGTCACAATGTTTTTGTCTTATTGTTTATATTTTTTGTCTTACTTTTACCATGTCCGGATCATCGTTTTCTTTCAAATTTGTCACCAACTTGGAATTTCTTTATGAATGTTCCTCACGTACTACGGAGTATTCGTTACTGAATGCAAAATTCTGTTTCTAAACGATTCCAATTTCTTCACATTCTTGTGACTTTTCAAGATTTCTACTCAATATGTTCTTATCTTTATTGTTGCTGGAAGCGGTGACCGTCCTCTTGTCATGAAGTATAGCTTATTTACCGTTATTTTCGCAATGCTTTATCTCTTGGCTACTTGCTTTCCTGCGTTCAGTAAATGTTATCCCTAGGTATGTGATTTCTTTCTTCATCTCTATCCGCTTTAGGATATTTAGGGAGCTTTTCGTTATTTTGAGCGTTTGAGCTATTTAACTTCTAGTTCGTATTGCCGTGACGATTTCCTTCAGCTCGGCCACTATTCCCATATCATCTGCAAATTGAAAGACTTCTTCGTTTTGATTTTCGCCATCGTATTATGCCTTCTTCCATTCTTTTTACGTTGAACGCTTTGACTAGATTACCTTCCAGGTTGGCATCGATCATCTTTGCTAGCAAGCCATCTTGCCATCTTATAACACCGCTATCATCTGACGTCTTTTTTTCAGGATTAATTGATGCCTTTCTATTTCCTCGTGCAGTCACTCCAGTAGAATCTTGTAGAACAATCCGATCAGGAGATTGATAAGTTTCCTGTTCCTAGGCTGTGATGCATCCTTTCCATCATTTTTTACGTGTCTAGCGATGAGTTGTATCATTTGATGTATCAAAAGAATTTTATTAATTTAGATATATAGAAAAGTATAAAACTATTTTGTCTTTTAATATTTTATTAAAAGAAATAATATACAATACAAAGTGAATTTAATGTGATTTATACAAAGATGATTGCACCAAACCGACCCAACGTCTTCAAAAAACGTATAAACAAATTGAAATTAAACAAAAAAATCTATGGATAATTTTTATGGATAATTCTAACCTTAATTCTTAATCTTATAATTACAATTAATCATAATTAATTATTAATTTACAATTAACTAAAGAACACTTTCCGGGTGAACATTCGTTCCATAACTTTTTTATGGAATTTTTTTTGATTAATAAATTGTACTTTACGCACAGGCATTAACATTTAACTCTTAAAACAAAAATACGAAATTAAATTATCGTTTAAAATATTAACATAAATCTAATCAGTCTTATGTACAACAAAAAAAATCTTATCTAAATAATTTTTTAACTTGCAACATCGTCTAAGCTCGTCTCGATTTCATGGTGATGAGGCACAGTTAATCGTTTAATCATGTGAAAAGTTGGAACGTAAGGCATTTGTAAATTTACAAATTCAGGTTGCAATTCTCTCGGATAATAAACGTACGGGTCTAAATCGTACGGTACATTTATTACGTCCGCTTTTGGAAATTGAACCGGAAAAACAAATTTTAATTGATGCTCATATAAATTCGGTCTGATTCCTTCTATTTTATTCGATTCGATTTGTTTTGAATTATCCATACTTGTTATTGTTGATAATGTTGATTCGGTTGTTGTGGTTGACTCAGTTGTTGAAGTTGACTCAGTTGTTGAAATTGATTCACTTATTGAAGTAGAAAATTCATTTTCATCGATTTTATTAATCCCAATCTTTTCATAATTGATATTATTATTAGTTGGGATGTATATTTGATAATTTGGTAGGGTTTTATACCAATAATAAATCATTTTTCCGTCACTTACTAAAGAATTTTGTAAACTCAAAGGTGATGCATTCATAAATTCTTGATTTTGTTGATTAAATTGAGCAGGTTTTGCTTCTGAAGGTGGTTGTAAATAGTTAAATTGTTGATCAAATGGAACGTATTGGTAATTATTGACGTAAATTTGTGGGGTAATTGGTCCTTTTGAGTTCTGTTTTGGCAAGTTTTTATCTGGGTTTGGATTGAAAAACGTTCTTTCTGGGTAAGGTAAATTTTGTTCACCCACATTATTCACTTTAACGTTATATTTTATGGATTGAGCACTTTCTTGGTCGATTTCTTGTGGTGGTTTTCTATCAATTTCTTTGAGTTTTTGAAGAAATAATTCATAATAACGCTTACATATTAGTTCTTCATCTGCATTTTGAGTTTTAATTAATGGAGTTATCAAGTTGATTTCTTGTTGATTTTCTGCTTGATTTTCTGTTGGAGCTTTTGTTTGATTTTCTGTTACAGTTTCTTCAGAAAGTGGTTGAAGGTAAACTTTGGTAATCAGTATCTAGAAAATAAAAATTAATTTTTTACCAATAACTACCTTTTTTTTAAAAAACTAATAATTTTATGAAAAACATCCACACCTTTTCGAGTCTGCATTAGAAATAACTGGTAAACGGATGCGCTATGTTGGGTTTTTCTAGGAAGTTAGAGGGTCATAATTAAAAAAACCGTGCCTCCTCCTCGTCCCCGCATTTTGTATGTTAATCACGTAGTTGTTTTGTGCATGCATGAACCGTATGGGCAACTACCGAAACGAAGGGGAACTTTTATTTCAATGCGGGTTACAAAATAACCACAACAGAAGAAAAAATTAAACCACAAAAAATTGAAATAAAAATTAAAACTTACCGTCACGAAGTAAATCACCAAGAAGATATTCTTCAACATGTTTAATGATAACTTCTTCGGTTATTCTTGAATTGTTGGATTAAAATAGTAAAATATCACTCGCGAGTTGAAAAGACTTCTTCGTAAAGAAACTCTTCTGGCTACGACACGATGGAAACCTGTTTCGATTCTAGGAGAAGATTTTTTTAAAAAGTCGAGGCTGCTCCCTGTGAGTGGGGCGGGAGCTGGAGAAGGTTCGTGGAGCGAGTGCGGCGGTCGCGAGTGCTCCTCGTAGTTTTTTAACCCCCGCGCGCCGCTGGAATGTGACCGCGAGGAGTCCCCCGCGCGCGTCACCGTCGTCGTCGCCCCCTTTTTACATCGTCGTCGCGGTACCAAATCCGACAGCGCGGCGCTCTTCCTTATCTAACGATTCAACCCCCTTGTCTCTTCCTCGTCCTTCACCAAAAAGACTTTCTCAAAGAGTTCGTTCACTTTACAAGAAAAAAGAGTTACACTTTTAAAGCTTTTGTCTAGTTTGTTGTTTTAAAACAATATCACTAATAATTAGAATTAAAAAATTACATGATCAATTAATTAATTTAACTTAAGTTATTAACAAAAAATTAATTATTAAATTGATAGGTATCAATTTAATAATTAATTTGCGATAATAGACATCGTGTTGTATCTCTACATTTCTTATATGAGCTTTAATAAGTATCATATAAACGTGTCCTTTTAACACCGCTATAGCATCGGATGATATAATGCTTCCTTGTACTCTTAACCTGTATTTATAGGAAGCAAGGTATAACTTAAGTCTTTAATAAAATAAATAAAAAAAATATATAAATATTAAATATGGTTTAAAAGCTGCCATATGAGAGCTTAGTATGCGAAATTTCTACAACACGATGCCATTACGCAGAAAGTTGTACCAAATGAGAACTAAGGGCAAAATTTACTCAACTCCCAAAGAAGTTTTAAAAGTCAACAAGATCCCGAAGAAGAGACCTTCTCAACACTTTCATATATTTGGGATCCAGAGTAAACGTTATTATGTTGTCCCTACAAACCCTAATGATGAGTAAAATACTCAGACAAACATAACGCAGGATCTACCTCACTATTATAAAACCAAAAACAACATATAGATGCGAAGTATTGTCCATATAACAGGAGGTGAAAACAAATTAAAATCTTTGAAAAACGGATCTTGCACAAAATATATGGATCGATACAAGATTATGCTAGAATGTGAAAAATAAGAATACATTACGAATTGGACCAGATTATGGATGATACAGTATGGATGATACAGACTCAGTACATACACATAAAAAGACAAAGAATAGCATGACAAGAACATTTGTGTGAAAAGTGAGTGAACAGAATAGTAGAATAGATACCACAGCGACAGAGAGCTAGAGAAAGATCAAAGAAGCGATGGAAGGATGATGTGATGGAGGATGTTAAGACGCGTAGTGTATGTAACTAGAAGAGTACGTCGTCTGACAGATCGCAACATATCTTGAAGCAACCCAAAGTCCACAGAGGACTGTTGTATTAGAAGTAGAAGAAAATTCAAATAACAAATAAAAGGAAAGGCAGAATTTTGTAATATCTAACTTTGATGCTTTCTTGCATGTTGTTATTAACGTTGTTTAACAGTTTGACTAATTATCTCAGAGCATTAAATATTTGACTTGGCTCTGTGGTGCTACGTTACCAAGAACGGTACAATAACTAATAAAATTTAGTTATTAATTTATTATTAAATTTAATTTTTCAATAAAATGTAACAAGTAATTAATAATTTATTAATTATTCTACCTTAATATGATTCGCAATGTTCAACAAGATCATGTACAGTGCCACTTCGTCAAACTGGTAAGGAAACGTTTCATCAATATTTCCAATGATTAAAAAATCGTACACAAGAAAGCAGCTTTCCAAAATACTCGTGAAAATTGCTGATGTCCAAGTATTTTGACAAAAGCTGACAGTAATAAATGGTGTTGAAATTGATGTCAGTTGATAAAACTTTTAAGTTGTCTCCTAGTTCTTATTTTTGGACGGCAGGTCAAGCAGTGTTCTTCTCGATCTTATTTTAAATGTGGAACGTAATTGTAACTACATCACAAAACGTTTAAGTGATTAAAAATTCTTAGGTATCGTTATAAGACCACAACATTGGGAATTAATCTTAAATTATATTGCTCTTGAAGTATGGTATAGTCAGCAAATCCTCAATGTTCTGTCACCATTTACTTACATCGTCAGCTCCTCACTTTAGAGATATCTATATCTTCGTAACCGCTCGATGGAAAAAAATGCGGTAAAATTTATTGTAATCAATGAACATTTCTGCGTATCACATGTTAATTTGGAAATTTTCGGCTCCGCGCTTTTTCTTTTATCGCGAGTTAAGTAGGATTTTTAAGAGTGCCAGCAACTTTATCTACTTTGCGATTTTTTTTCTCCAAAACTATTTGACGAAAAATTTGAACTGGTGGTAAACCGATGTGTTATTAATGCGGGGCATATTTTATTTTTTCAGCACAGTTTTAAGCTTCACACTGAAAATGGAGACATAAGGGTGAAGCAACTTCAGATTACAAAAAGCAGCTCCAATTTTTTTCGAAATATGAGCGCGATACCTAAAACTGTTATCGATAAAAAGTCCCAAATTCCTCGCTGACGAGGTAACCGGTATGCGCGATCCACCAACAGTTATATACAGCGATTCGCTCAGCAATTCGATTTTTTTTGTCGTTCCCAAAAAGTATCACTAAGCTTTTATCAGGATTCAATTTCAAGGAGTGCATTCGAGCATAACAAAATAAACTTTCGAGATCATTATTGATCTTAACCAAAGCGTCATCTAACTCTTCCCGTTCAAAGCTTAAGTATAATTGCGTATCGTTCGCATTATGAATATTACAGAAATTTATAAATTTCGGAATAAATACAAAATAATAACGGCCCCAATATAGAGCCCTGCGGCACACCCTTCTCCAGCAGCAAGATTTTCTAAGTATGTACATATAAATTTCACAAACGAAACATCACAGCTAATATGGTATAAAATAGATAATAAAATGTCGTGATGGACCATATCAAAAGCTTTACTAAAATCAAGAAGTACAAGTGCAGTACACTTATTGATATATTTAGCACAAATGATATCAACAGTTATCTTCAACAAAGCAGTAGAGCAGATGCGACCTGACACAAACCCAGATTAACAATCAGGAAGAATGTTATTTACATTAAGGTACTGCCTTAGCTGAAAATTAACGATTTTCTCCAACACGTTGCTGACGGTCGGCAATATACTGATGGGACGCAAATCTTTGTACTCATTTGACGAATTTATTTTGCGTAAGGGGAGCACTAGCGCCGATTTCCAAGCATTAGGAAAGTAGTTTGCTCAAATACACTTATTTACAATATGTGTAATGTGGCGCAGAAGCTGAGGAACAACCAACTTTAACATATTTATACTGATACCGTGCGCGCCACAAGACTTACTAACTTAATTTCCGTTAATAATCGCATGATCGTATCCTCATCCACACCAGTTAATTGAAAGGAAGGATTCAGGTTATTAGTAGAATTCTGTCTATTAAATCAGCGTCTCCTAGATGAGCGGGAACCCCCATAATCTTGTTGGGAACAACATTGAGTCTTTTAAGCGTTTTCCATAGAGCACTAGAACCAGAATTTCGACTCAACTGCTCAAAGTACGCCTCCTTTTCATTACGCAACGCTAATGTTGTAAAATTACGCAGCTCTTTATAGTACATCCAGTGACCGTCCTAAGCCTCTGCAAAAGTTTGACATTGTCAGTAAGCCAAGGTGTTCTTGGTTTGGTAATTTTAACGGTTTTGATTGGCGCAAACACATTGAACAACTGCAAAAGCGCATCATTGAAAAAGTCAACCTTAGCATCTATGTCTAAAGAATAAATAATGTCAAACGGAATTGCAGACAAGTGACTAGCAAACTGACGATATTCAAAATTAGAGAAATGTCTAAAGGAATACTAAAAGGGTTTACGACGGAAGTTAGAAAATCTAAACTTACGAAACACACCACTTCCAGCAACAACTGAAACATCAGATAGAACTACAACATCCAATAATTCAATAATAAGCTATGCGGGGAGAGGAGGGTTCCATCCAATCGGAACAGATAGTGAGTCCCAGACAGTACGTCGCGCCTTTATCTTACCTACATAAAGAAATAAGGCGCGACGTCCTGTCTAGGACGCACCATCTGTTCCGATTGGACGGAACCCCCGTCACCCCGCAGAGCTTATTTTTGTTTCTCTTTAATTTGTAATTCAATTAAATCGCTCTTAAAAAATTAGGGAGCTTTAATTTTGAAAAACTGACAACCGACATTATTTGAATTAACATTATGTTATGTAGAATTTTTTTTATCGAACGGTTGCGAAGATATCGATCTCGAAAGTGAGGGACTTTTTGCACGGATAGTAGTCAACACTTTGATAAACCAACTCAAAAGATTTAAGACTGTTGAGTCTTCTCACTAGCTGTGAATTGTCCAGGATTTTAATATTGATGATAAAGTCTCATTTCATGTTCTCTAGCAGAATTTGTGATAATTTCATTCACTTTTTTTACTTCCAATTCTCGAAATAGCTCACTGTTTCAATTCTTCAATACTGTATTTTGGAATCTTTGTATAATTGTTTTATTGCTTTGTTTGGTAAAGCCCCTTATACTCCGTAAATTCAGGCTGGTCTAAGTATTTGTTTATACAGCAAAATTTTATTATATACTACCAATCAACCAGTATATTTTTCTGTATTTTCTGTATTATACACTTCAGCTCTTCATTTTTCTTTTTTACATGCAGCTTCCATCGCAGCTTTGCGTCTAAAGTCATAGCTTGATTTGTAACTTTTTTCTATACTTGTTATTCTAGCATCATAATCACTTCCTTATTTTCAAGATGTTATATAACGTAGTCTGAATGAGGCGTTAATTAGCTTTATTACATCAAATCAGTATCTTTTTTAGGTAGTCATTCCGAATGAAGTTTTCAATTTACTTCACCTTTCTCGTTTTCATTAACGTGATGGGATTTTTCAAATAGGTCAACTTTTTATTGACTGCTTCTTGTCCATTTTTAGGTTTCAGGGAAGAAAAATCGTTTCATAATTATCATAAATATTATCTGTGTTAACATTTTTTATAAATCATATTGTTATAATTAATCAAAACTTATTCAATAATATTAAATATTTACAACCCAATATTTTTAAATACAACTCTGTATTTTATTCCACCTGTAAAAAGGTTTTTAGATTTTTTTGATTCACCGAGTCGGTTCATTGTGTCCCTTCGAGTTTTTTTTTCTTTTTTTGTTGTTGTTCGTTCTTCCCTCCTAAGCCGGTAACCAGAAAGGCAATGACTCCTGCCCCGAGACCGTGACCGAGATAGTTTTGTACCTCTTTTTTTTCTCTTTAATGGTACCTTCTAGTTACCTCCTCCTCGTGTTATTTTTCTTTTTTTACTTACGCTCGAAACCCACCACGTGTACACAATTCAATTTATCTCGCCTCGATTCCGTCAGGTGAGTTAGGGCGAAACAAAGAGTTCAAAAACCTTTTACAATCGTTATCTTAAATACTATTACAGTTTTAAGTTTTTACTGCTTTTTGTATTCTTTACAAAATAAAAAAAATGTTATAACTCATTTTTATTATTTCTGTAATTTAGGAAAATGAAGATGCAAATGGTTACAATAGTACTCCTTCATACATGGATCCTAGTGCAATATCTCCATCAAAGGTAAATTAAAACAAATTAGTATCCTCTTAAAAAAAATTTTTGTTATTTAGGTCACTGTTAAAGCTCTTTACGATTATAAAGCTCGTCGCCCGGATGAATTATCCTTTTGTAAACATGCCATCATTACAAACGTAACTCAATCAAACGGAAGCGAAGGTTGGCTTATGGGTGATTACGGTGGAAAAAAACAACATTATTTCCCGGCGAATTACGTCGTTAAAATTGAAGCAATGGATCCTCAAGATGCGGGAGATGATAAAGTAACGATCTTAACTTGCGCAAAAATTTAATTCAACTCAATTAATTTTTTTAGTCGAGTGAAAACCCACTTCAAGGTCATTTAGATTTAAACGGTGCAATAGTAGAATTAACAAACGCCCAAAATTTCGGTTTCGAATGGATTTTAAGGATAATAACATCGACTTCTTGTACCCCATTCAACGTCGCGTTAAAATCGAGGGAGGAAGCTTTAGAATGGGTTACCGATATAAAAAAGGCAACGCAAAGCGCTTGCGCCCTTCAAAATCAACACAGAGAAATGGAACGTTCTTATGGAATCGCACAAGAAATCTCAAATTTAATAGTTTATTGCCGCTCCGCTCCATTCGTATTAGAACGAGCGAAAAAAGACTTAATCTTCAATAAGATGTCTTCCTTTCCAGAAAATAAAGCTGAGAAATTAATTTGCCAACAAGAGAATAAATTCTTCCTTAGGTACCATCAAGTACAATTTTCGAGGGTTTATCCAAAAGGACAACGAATCGATTCTTCGAATTATAATCCGATTCCTTTATGGAACTCTGGTTCGCAAATGGTTGCATTAAATTATCAAACGGGCGACAAACCAATGCAGCTTAACCAGGCTAAATTTCGGGATAATGGGAATTGCGGGTATCTTTTAAGACCGGAATTTATGTTCCGCGAAGATTTCGATCCGCACGATGCGAACACTTTGGTCGATGTTGAACCAATTACCGTATCGATTAGGATTATTGGAGGTAGACACTTTTGCAAATCGAAAAAGGGAATCGCCAGTCCATTTGTTGAAGTTGAAATTATTGGGGCTGAATTTGATAGTGGAATTAAATTAAAAACTAAAACTATTTGTACGTGTATTACATTTCTCTTTTATTAATGGGGCCGTTACACATTTTTTTATTGGCTTATTTGATAGTTTAGCAAAATTGCGGACTTCTATAATTTTTTATTTTTCAAACGGCTTTAGTTTTTCCAAAAAAAAAAAATAATGAAGATTTGAAAAAACTTTGGAGACGTCACTGTCGTTTCGCACGCGGTTGGTTGAAATAAAAATCAATAAAAGGTGTATGAGCGAGATGCCACGAGAATCTTATGTGCTAGAAGAAGAGATCCGAACGATGCACGTTTGTGTCTTCTTGAAACCTCGTAAACGTCACCAAAGCTTTTATTGAGGGGATTTTGAATTTTAATATTAATTAATCCAAAAATTAAATAATTCTAGGATCTGAAAATGTTACCAATCAATCTATTTTTACATAATTTATCGATTTTTTGAAAGACAGTCTTTCTATTCGATTGAGGGTAACGGCCCCATTGTAATATTTTCAACTGCTTGCAATCAGCCGAAAATATTATTAGATTTTACAATCGAATTTGTGAATTAATAATTTATTTACAGCTGATAATGGATTCAATCCTAAATGGAACGAAATATGTGAATTCGACGTGTTAAATCCTGATTATGCTCTTTTAAGATTTGTGGTACAAGATGAAGATATGTTTGGAGAACCAAATTTTATAGGACAAGCAACTTATCCAGTAAGAATTATGTATATTGCTGATAGAATTTGGGTATTAACGTTTTATAAAAGTTTTTTTTAAAAGGTTTTGTGTTTGTGTAAGTTCGGGATATGCGCAAATAATAGAACACGGTAGAAAATTTATAATACTTTACTACAAATAAATGATCTATAATCGAGCTCTTGTGAGACTATTCTGAGGTTGGTCTACGTGACCACTGTCACGAGCTCTTAGCGGTGGTGCAACCCTTAACGCGTTTGCGCAATAATACGTAATAATTGTTTCAAGCGTAATAAACAACATAAAATGGTTTAATATGCAATAATTATAATTTTACAAATTCATTCTTACTACTGATTGTCGTTGTCTAGTTTATCTAGAGTTTTTGGATATACCATGCATGTGCTGCTGTTCAAGTTTTCTGTGGGTTTTGTCATAGATTGTTGTGTATCAGTTTTAAACATTTTTGTCATTTCTCCAGTGGGCGTATTATTTCTTGCTTCTGGTGACACAATAGGTTTCATTAAAAATGAAGTCGCAGATGGCATATTGTCATTAATAATTAAGACCTTTTTCTCTACTTCAGATCTTTGAATCTGGTCTATACGACGTTTGATTACATACCTATCATCTAACTCTACTAAGTAATGTAATTTCCCTAGTTTTTCAACTATTGTTCCTGGTTTTCATAAAGTTGATGCAGAATAATTTCTAGATTCTCTCTTTCCCAGGCGTAACTCTTTGCTTAGGACTGGTTGGACAGCGTTATTTTTAATAGAATCTCGATACCGTAACAAATCCAATCTAGTTCTTAAATTTCTCTTCATAAATAATTCTGCAAGGGTTTGGTCTGATCCGGTATCTTAACAAAATCTCGTAAAGCTTCCCGTTAATACTTTTAGACTCGTACGACATTGCTTTTTTTAAAGTTGCCTTATATATCTTTCTGCTTGACCGTTTGTAGCTAGATGTCCTGATGCAATGAAATTCTGACGAATACCATTTTTATTGCAGAAATTCAGGGATTCTTGTGATTTAAAAATTGTCGCACTATCAGAAACTAAAATGTTAAAATGTGGTAAACCTGTTCTGCTGACAATCTCCTTCATGATGTACAGGGTTGATACTGTAGTTCGAGCTATTTTTGTACTTATTATTTCTGGCCATTTCGACTTAGCATTTACCATGATAAAAAAGAAGTGTCCTTGAAAAGGACCTGCATAATCCATATGCACTCTTTGCCATACTTCTTCTGGAGTATCCCATTTATGTAACCGTACTTTATTTGGGTTGTTTTTGATACCCGCACATGGTTGACATAATTTTACGAGATCTTCAATATCTTTATCTATATTTTTCTGAGTGTTTCTTCTATATTTTGGTGAGCAGACTGAAGTTTCTCAAAGACCGAACTTTGGAGTTTGACTTCGGTACTAGTGTTTTTTCCATTTTCTAATTCTACCTTTAATGAGAAGAGTTCTGGATCTGAAGTCGTAGCTTCGCGTATTGTGTCAAACGTAATGAATTTTTCAGATAAGTGATTGATTACAACATTGAAAACTTCATGATCTTCATCAGTGGTGTCCTTATTAATTGGTAAAGGTGCTCGCGATAAATAGTCGGTATTTGCGTAACATTCTGATTTCCAATCTTGGATTTCATAGTCAATCCATTGAAGAACATGGAATAGCGGATGAGGCACGAAACCGTGACTGTTGGCGAGCGTCGGCTTTTCCCAAAAATATGAGTCAACGACTTGTTGTCTGTAATCAATATGAATTTTCGGCCACAGATGTATACAAAATCCCCAATTAATGACGGTGGCTTCTTTGTCCAACTGGGATTAATTCTTTTCAGCTGCTATGAGAGATCTGCTGGCGAACACGATGGGCCGTTCGTCCCCATCGATAATATGGCTGTGTCGATAAATTTTTGGAATTCGTTAGGGGCTGTTTTAATTCCAAAAGCAAGTCGTTTCATCTTGTAGGAACGTCGATGAGTTGAAATTGTTTGTAATTGTTGACACTCTATATCCACCATTAAATGCTTATAGATATCCAACACGCAGAAAACTGTACTTCCTCAGGCGGTTTAACCCTCTGTGTACCGACGGTACTTTAAAGTACCGGTAGTTTTAAACACTCATTTTTAACAGTAGTCATCTCTTCGGTGTATTTAGAACTGTCGGTACTTTTACTATACAAGAAAGAATCTGTATAAAAAATGACGCAATCCGCACTGTAGGGTTTTTAGGTATATTTAAACTTATTCGTCCAGATGTGAGGTTTAGAAGTTTAGTGGAAAGTGGCGTTGTTGAATTTTGTTGTTCAAAAAGGTATCTCCTTGATAAATTAGGTATGATTATTACAGATCATTTTAAAAAGAAAGCATTGAGCTTTAATTTAAAATAAGTCTCATTCCTTAATTTCAATAAATACGGCTTCCAGGAAATTTTTAAATTAGTATCTTTTCTGACACTTTTAGGTTATACGAAAATGTAAGGTTTGTTTCAACATTTGTTTTCTCAATATTTTTCCAATCCAACCCAACAATTATTATACATCACTTTAAAAAGAAAGCTTTGAGCTTTAATTTAAAATAAGTCTCATTCCTTAATTTCAATAAATACGGCTTCCAGGAATTTTTAATTTAGCTTCTTTTTTGACATTTAGATTATGCGAAAATGTTAGTTTTTGCGCAATATGTTTTTTCTCAATATTCTATCAGATTTTCGTCGTTCTGTAGCTACAGGTCTGATAAATAAATATTCAAATTTACTGTGGCCACGAAATTGCCGTAGCGCAAGTTCAAAAGAAAGAGGAAGTTTTGAAAATTGTTCTGCCAAAGACCCCACTCAAAATGTACTGCGTGCAATTTTTTGCTGCATGTCGTAATGTGATTTAGCTAAAGCAAGCGTTACTTATTTTCTAACGTAATAAGAAATGTATTATTTTTATATTAGCAATAACAATTTTTGTATACTGCAACATCACTAAAATATATTTTAATGCTTGACGGTACTCTCAATTACAATATTATCCCCCTGGAATGGAGGGATTGCATATTTTGCTAAAATTGATTCCAAAGGCCTTTACTGAGTGTATTTTGATAGCGATTTAATTCTGTCACAGAGTTTCAAAATTTTTGAGTTCTTGGGACACAAAGGGTTAATATGTACGTCGTCTATCAGCGGTATTAGATATCGAGCATCTTGCAAAATCGGGTTGGTAGTAATCGATGCAAAACGTACATTTCACTCAGGCTTTGGGGAACCCCATGCAGAGTAATCAGTTTTTTCAATGATGCCTAAATTTTCGATTAAATCTAATTCTTTAGCTTGAGACTGCATGTGACATTTGGTACACACCCTACCTTTCCTTGAAAAACATCTGTGTATTTAGTAAATATCTCGTGGTTTCGTTTCTATTGGGTCTATTTGATAACATGATTTATATATATTATACCTAGACTTTGTAACCATGATCGTCCTGCAATTGCAGAATAAGGCGCATGTACAACATCTGTAGATTTACTGCTTCCATGTGAGACTGTCACTCTGATTTTTCCCTTTGGTTTTTTTCAACGGTTGTGTTATACCAAGTTTTAGTTTGTGTGTAGAAACAAATTCTCTTGATGGCTCTACAACCCGAATTAAGCCTTGAACTTCCTCAACTTTGTCTCTAGATCACCCCTTCCATAAAACGTTAATAATCCATATTCTATACCTTTAACTCATACATATAAATAATAATTTATTATTAATTCTCTTTTTTTTCTAGATTAAATGTATAAGAACCGGATATAGAAGTGTATGGCTTAAAAATGCTTACAGTGAAGACTTAGAATTGGCTTCTCTCTTCATTCATATTAGTATTACTAACAGAAATGTAAGATTTTCAAACTAATCTTAATCAAAAAATAATCAAATTCTCATTATTTTAGAGATCCATTACAAGACACTGACAATAACTATTCAAAACTAAACAAAAAATTATAAAAATCTAACTATTTTGATGGAATTTAGATTTCTAATAAACATATCTCTGCGTTTAATGACATATCTTGAGCTTGGATATCAAACTGTGAACTTAATCAATCATAAGATATTTTGTAGGAGAATTTTAATTACAATTGGAAAATGTATATTTTATAAAGGATGTTCTATTGGGAAGTGTAAAACAATTTAAAACTTGTTGCAGCCTTAAAAACTGGATTTGTTAGTCTAAAGAAAAAACTATTTAAATGTATTGACGTTGTTCAATGTAATGAATAAAAAATGTATGTTTCAAAAGATTTTTGATTTATTAAACAATAAATATAATAAACAATTACACATTAATCATCTTCATCATCATTTTGATATCCCAATAAAATACTTTGATCTGAAGGTGCTCTAAATGATGTTTCAAATAATATCACATTAGTTTGATTCCTAATGTGATACCAATCACCTTTCCAAGGAAGAAAACCACTTTCAGGTAATTTAACAACATCATTCCTTTGAAAATGCATTTTCTTTATTTTATTCAAAATATTTCCATAACGAACAGCAATGTATTGTTTATTTCTCTTGTAGTAATACACCCGCACAGGGAGTTTAGCAACAAAAAAGTTAAGAATAACACAAATTCCTAGAATGGCTGAAAGGTAAATTATTTCTTCATTGTTTAAATGTAAACGAACTTCTTGGCTCCAATCATGTGTATTAATATTTTGTGGGGTTTCGTTATATAACACACTAATCAATACAATTCCAACGATAATTGTAGAAGCTACTTGTGCCCAGAATATGTATTTAGCCAATTTAATTCGATAAATTAACTCATAATGTGCTGGAATATTATCATGTATCCTGAAAGTATTTGCGGTATCTTTTGCAACAAATCTCGATGTAATCGTTTTGCGTTGAATTATTTGAGGTGATTTAAACATGTATTGCGGTTGTTGTTTGGGGAGGAAACGTAAAAATATACATGTTCTTGATAAATTTGGTAATTTTGTAAGAAACCCCATTTTTAGGTTAGATATAAATTTAAGTTTTGAGGTTAAGTTTAATTGTCAAAATTGACGTAAAATTTATTAATAATCAATATTTAATAGAAAATGTTTATTATTTTGTATGGAAAATTATTAAAGATAGTTGATTAATTCAATAATTAAGATTATTTACTTTTAAATTAGTTATAAATTTATTAATTTTTAGGGAAATTTAAACTGTTAATGTTGCAACACCTGTTTGTCAAACTAACATATAAATAGAGTTGAGAAACGGTTAAAAGTTTTAAAATTTAAATGGAGAAAGAGCGAGTAGCACTTCGACAAATCGGTGCTGAAAATATGTCTAAAGCGGTAAAACAATCCCAAAAAAAATCTCATACTCCCGTCTCATACGTTGCTGTTGAAGATAACGATAAAGAAAACGCAAAAATAATTGAAGACGGTGAAGATAAATTTAATAACACGTGTTCCGAAAAAACCAACGGACCACAAGAAGCATTAAAAGAATCAACAAATAACACCTGCGAAGATAAACAATCTTCCTCTGAAGAGCAAAAATCGACGGGTCGATTATGGAAGTTAGAAGATTTCGAGATAGGTAAACCACTGGGTAAAGGAAGATTTGGAAACGTTTATTTAGCAAGAGAGAAACAATCAAAATATGTAATCGCTCTTAAAGTTATGTTTAAAGACGGTATTTTAAGTTCAAATACGGTTCATCAAGTACGAAGGGAAGTCGAGATCCAAACTCATTTAAGACATCCAAATATTTTAAGAATGTATGGTTATTTTTATGATGAAGCTAGAATTTACCTTATTTTAGAGTATGCTAGTAAAGGTAAATAAGTCAACAAAAACAACATTTATTTTAAACACATTCTTTTTAGGTACTATTTTTATGGCATTAAGAAATTCGGAAAATAAAAGATTTACAGAATCTCGAGCTGCAACTTATATAGCTCAAATTGCAAGAGCTCTTCAATATTGTCATTCAAAAAAAGTAATCCACCGTGATATTAAACCAGAAAATTTATTATTAGGGCGAAATGGAGAAATAAAAATTGCTGATTTTGGGTGGTCGGTTCATGCACCTGCTTCTAGAAGAACGACTGTTTGTGGAACTTTGGATTATTTATCGCCGGAGATGGTCCAAGGGAAAGCTTATACAGAAAAAGTTGATATGTGGTGTTTGGGGGTTTTATGTTATGAATTTTTAGTGGGTAGACCCCCTTTTGAATCTAGAACGTATGATGATACTTATAAAAAAATTAGTAAGGCTATGTATACAATTCCTCAATTTGTTTCTGATGGGGCTGTTGATTTAATTAAAAATTTAATGGTTGTTAATCCTGCAAGGAGACTGGATATAGATAATGTTTTGATGCATCCTTGGGTGATAGCTAATTCCAAACAAGACGAATGAATTTTCTGATATTTATTAAACAATTCATTGTATTAAGTGATATTTTAATTATTTTATTGTCGTAATTTTTTGTTCATATCATCTATCATTTTTCTTATTTATACATCTACTTAACAGTAATTATTTAGAACAATTAGGACATATTTTTTAACTATTATTAAACAAATACAATGTTTTTTTTGGATGATATGTACTTGATTATTTCATTTGTGATTTGTTCTTGAACGTTTTGTATGAAACATTAGACTGGAAAGTTTTAACTGATTTTACACATTATTTAGTTAAATATTTAAATTAAAATTAGCAAAATTTGGGTTCATTCTAATAGATCAACGTGATTGTAGAATTTTAGATGGATGCGATTTAGTACACAAAAAATAAATCTTTAATTTATAATATCTGTTTATTTTATCCTTCTTTTTAGTAACTTTGATACATTGTGTTATATTATGGGATTAATGTTAATTTATACTTACTCTTCTCGCTCCTTATGCAGCATAGAGCAGCGTTTTCTGGCTTCCATTGCTTCTGCCTCAACAGTTCTCTTCTACGTCGTTCTTGGACATCCTCGTCTTCCTGCTCATTGGTAGTTCCAGTCAAGTGATTCATGAGGCATCCTCTGCGTGTGGCTAATCAAACGCCATTTCCTTTTGTTGGTTTGTTTTCTTCCACAAATCTTCATTGTGTGTTTATGCACTGTTTAATGAACACCTATAATTTGTTCGACACCTTCTTGCTGCAGCAAACTCTGCTTTATGTCCTTGTTATTACTTCTCACCACTTTTCTTTACTAGATGGTCGGTGGTCGTGTACTCTGTCAATGCTTGAGTTTTTAGCTGCTTTCTTTTACTAATATTTAGTCGTGTTTTGATCTCCTTTCTACGACTAATTAAATCCCACGTATTCTCAGACATTCAATCTTTCTTAAGGTTATTTCTGAAGCCGAAGACTCGTCAATAAAGGATTTGTTCAGCGTTTCTGCATCGCTGTTTCTTTGTTCATTTGATTTCAAGAGTAATTGTCCACAGCTTCCTAGTCTAATGGTGGATTTGCCACTTTAAAGCGTCCTCCTTGCTTCAGAAAGCTAGATGTTATTGTCTTTCTACTTCTTGAGAGAGGTAAGAGACCACTTAAGTTACAGGGATTCAGGGGCAATCCTGTTTCCACGATATCCGTAGCTGACGATTAACCTGATTATCGTTTTGTATAAACGAGTATTTCGGAGATCCTTTGATCAAAATATAATATATTTATATTTTTATTATATGAACTATATTATGGTTCATGGCGAAGTATGCTTTATTTCTTATGATGATTCTTCTCCTTTTTTCGGTCTCTTCGCCTCCATTTTAGATATTTGCTGCTTTACTTCTTCTACATTGTCTCCGTCCATCATAATGCTCCTTGTATGATGTTTTGTTCTTTTTTTTGCACCTTGACGTTTGTTTTGTCTGTGTTAATTTCTAGCCCGACGTTCCTTGCTTTGCGCATAAGATTCGTGTATACTTCCTTGACAGTCTTCAGTGACCTGCTTAGAATGTTTATGTCGTGCGGCGTTTCTTGTTATCTGGGACGATTTGTTGACTAATCTCTATAATTAATCAAACATAAGAAACTTAATAAGAAAATAATAAACAATTTTAAGACGAAGCTAAGGAGTGTGATTGGTCGGTGATATATGATCAGACTATGAATGTACAGTTGTGTTATACTGCTTTTCAAGATCTACTAATGAGATGCTAATAATAAATGATGGTGCTTTCCCAGACATCACAACAAAAAGACCAATAAATAACCTTCACCTAAACTGGAACACTAAAAAGTAGCAAAAAATCATCTGGATGCTTTGCGTACCGTTATTGAAGTAACTAAGGAAAAGAACTTCATACAAACTTATAAAGAACTAAGAGTCTGCAAGATGGCATTTTTCCATGTGAATTAAAGTGTGCGAAAGTTGTGCCTTTCAAGAAAAAAGGGAATATCAATGATCCCAGTAAGTACAAACCTCTATCAATATTGCCGGCTATCTACAAAATGCATGATGTGGCAATATGCAATAAATTGATGCAGTAGCTATGCAAAAATAATTTACTAAATAAGTATCAACATGGGTATCAACCCGCGAGATCGACAATAAATGCAATTCTTGAAGTTTTAGAAGAAATAAGAAAAGGATTGCATCAGCGCGAATATACCCAGATTGCATTCTGTGATCTAAGTAAAACGTTTGATACTGTCAGTCATGACAATAAGAAAATTAGACAATTACGGTATAAACTCTACGGCTTTAAAACTAACTAATTACATCGTATCTGTAGAACAGAAAACAACAAGTACACTGGAGACGATTAGTATTGACATGGAAGGAAATTGCTCTTGTTGTTCCTCAAAGTTCTGTGGTTGGGTCAGTTTTGTTTTTGACATACATTAATGATATGGCTCTAAATGAGGATACACTTTCAATGTCTCTAGATGCTGATGATACGTCTTTTATAACTAGATCTAAAAACTGAAACAGAAAACAGTCTCAAGACTAGAGAAAGCGCAAGATTGGTTCAGGGCAAATAATTTGAAGTTAAATCCAGATAAAAAAGATACTTACATTCTTCAGTAAACGGGATAATAATATGACCAATCAGACTATGAATTTTCTGGGGATCACATTTTCAGAAACTCTCTCTTGGAGTGATCATATCACTAATCTAAAAAGAAAACTTGCTAAATCATTATATTGCCTAAAAATTGTAATAATGAACGTGCCTTACATTGATGCGAGAAACATTTATTTCGCTTATTTTCATAGTATATGGAATAATAGCATGGGCAACTTCTAGTGAAATGGAAACCATTTTTAAGCTACAGAAAAAAGCGGTGTATATTTTCTAAGCATAAGTTAAGGAGTGTAAGGGCTAACCCGTCTCCCTGTTTCAGGCCCTGTTCAATTTCTATGGAGTCGGTTAGCTTGTCCGTGTGTGTCATGGTCACTTTAGTTAATTTTACCAGTTTCTCTGGTACTTCGAGTTGTATTAAAATGAGGATAGCTTTTCCCTAGTTATGTAGTCATACCCTTGACATATGTAGTCTACGAATATTTGGTGTACATCCACGTCAAATTCTCATGCCTTTGCTACGATGTACTTTACGACAAATAATTGGTCTATGGTACTAAGCCCGCTTGATTGTCCGCAATAATCTTTTCTGCGAAAATGTATACTGCGGTTCAAGATGTAAGTTGTCACACTTTATTTTATCACTCTTTTGGTGTATTCGACATATGATAGGCTTCTTTTCCAGTCATTAGGTAACGTTTCTTTTGTCATATATATACTGTAGCTTATTAAGATGTATAGGTGCGCTTGCAGAGTATAGGCTTTAGAGTCATCTAAAGCCATCTAGGTCATGTCTCTTTCTTTTTTCCTGAATCAATATCTTGAATTTGATGAATTTGTAGAAATGCCTTGTGTTTTGCTGTTTAAAGTTCTCTTCAATTTCGAGGAGTTGATTATTCTCTGCAGAATTTGTCCTTCCTGCGTCTTGCTTCCTCAAACCGTTGTTTTCTCTCCCCTGTATGCCCCTGTATGTATCTCCTGTGCATCTTATTTCTCTCATTCACGGCTCCTTTATAGTCATTATCGCACCAAGATTCTTTCCTCTTGTGAGTTTGGTATCCCAGTACTTGTTTAGCTATTTACTTTTATTTTGGTCAAATGACCTTCTACAGTCGGTGTGTCAGTATCACTTCCACTTTTCAGTTTTCTTGTTGTGTCAGTGGCGAACAAGGAGCGTGTCTGGACATCCTTAAGTTTTTCTGGGTCTTTTCTCTTGCCTTAGGTTTCCTCGCTTTTGTGTACAAGCAAAATTTTCTTGCACTAAGAAGTGATCCGATTCACAAGATGGGCCTCTTTTTGCCTTGACTTCTCAAATACTTGTTGCAGCTCTTTTGTCAACTAGTAGGTGGTTTATCTAATTGCGGATTTCGCCAAGGCGATGTCCACGTTGCTTTGTGAATTAATTTGTGTGGAAAACATGGTACTTTACGGTCCTGAAATAGACCTTGTTACCTTTAATGAAGTTTTAACATATTGAGGAGAAGTAAGGTCAAGTCTACAATTAATCAAATACCAATTAATTCAATAAAACAAATTTTTTACTTGTAACATACAAACATATATTTCCTTAAATATTTTTATAACATAATTTTCTTTTATATCACATCCAAGGTGCTTCTAATCACAAATACAGTTTTGTAATTTTTTAGACAACATTTAACATTTTTTTTAAATTTCTTTTTAATATTTATTTTAGACAAAAATCATCTACTTTTACACGTAAGCATTAAAACATTTAAAAGATCTTTTTTTGAGGTTAGTTTAGTTTTTGTGAAAAATTTTTAGAAAAACTTATCTATTCAACATAAAACGAAAGTTAATTTTTACTCGTAAAACTCATCGCAGATCTTAATTTTTTCCTTATCCTCGGCGATTGCCATTTATTCGAGTTTCCTTGTAGCGGGTTTAAATCGTTCGGTGAAACACCCTCATCGACATCATCAGCTTCCGTTTTAATTTCCATTTTCTAAAATAAAATTAAAAAAATAGAATCGGAGTTTTAATCGTTTGATAATTAATACTTACTTGAACTATTAGCCTTAAAAATTGTTGTTGCGTCTCTAAAATTGAAGTGATATCTTTTAATTTCTTTTTGGTTTTTTCTATTTCTCCGATTACGTAGTCTTCGCCACTTTCAATAACCATATCCAAACCTAAAATTAAATAATTTCTTCTTTTAAATTAAGTTTATTTGATTTAATAAAAAAAACTCTGACAATAAGAGTAAGTATAATACAAAGCCTTTTTTGTGAACTTTTTTAAAGCAGCACAAAACAATTTTAGAGACAAAAATAAACATTGATTAATAACTTTTTCCTACCAGCAGTGCGCCACCTCGGCCTGAAATAGGTGCCGTGCCTTTTCGCTTTTCCTGCAAATTAAACTATTCTAAACTAACCGATGTACGAAAGCGGATGGCAAATAATAAAATTAAGATAATATATGTGCCATGCATCTTTTAGAAAAATAATTAAATCAACTGACCATCGTCTGAGAAAGGATTTCCAAACCATTTTCTTAAAATCGAATCTAAAATTCCCAATTTGCATTTGATGTCGTTTGGGTACTCGATTATTTCGCACTTATCGACCTTCTCCAATAAAAATCTTGGTAATTTTCGTTCTAATTCACTGTGTAAAATCACCTATAACAACAACAATATTTTATTTTTAAAATGTTGTATCAAAAAAGCAATTAAGTATAATATAATATTGATATAATGAGTTGTCTATACGATGTATAAATCAAAGACGGTTGTTCTAGTTTTAATTGTTATTTAGTGCTAAATTGCTGTATATTGTTATTGAACTAAAAGTAGAACTAATACTAGACCTAGAACTAGAAACATTTGGGTTTAGCCGTCTTAAGAGACGTACGGCTATCAATTTTGTCGTTCCTAAAGATGATTGTTCTATTGATGCTAATATTTTAAAATTAAACGGTGAAAATTTTATAACAGTTAATTTCAAAAACAATAAATTAAAATTATCACTTGATAGAGGAGCTTCAATTAGCGTTATCTTTACGTCTTGTTTGTCGGACTCAGATTACAATAATAACAAAAAGAAATGTATACAAATAAAAGGAATATCGGGTTCCACTTCATAGCTAGGATCAGCAGATATTTTCTTTGTTTTAAATGATTTTTCGCAAAATTTTAATGGTATTTTGGGTTCCGATTTTTTTATTATAGATTATGAAAATTTTAATTTTCCTTTTGGTATAACGGGGAAAAACATTTATTACAGTTAGAGCCAAATTGTAATAATTTTACATCAATTCCCGCAAGATGCGAAGCAATACGTTACTTTAAAGTAAATAGTGATTCAGATTACATTGTTTTACCGGAAGAAATTGCAGGAGGAGTATTTTCCGCAGCTATTGTTACAAAATCAATAAAAAATTTGTTGCCCGTTAAAATTTTAAATATCAATGACAGAGAAATAAATATCAAAATTTTTTTACCAAAAATAGATAAATTATCAAATTACAATGTGTGTACTTTTGTTGAAACTGAGTTTTCAGGTTTCAGAGTTTTCCACCTGGAAGATGATCGACTTACAGTAATTAATAATGTTTCACAAAAAATTCATTTAAAAACCAGGTTACCAGTGTCACAAAAAGAAATTCACAAACAAGTACATAAGTACTTGTACAAGTACATAGATGCTGAAATCTACTTTCTTCGAAGAAACATCGTCTGAATGGCCAGCACCATTATTAATTGTGTCTAAAAAACCGGATTTAAATAGAAATAAAAAGTGGCGAGTAAAGAGTAATAGCTTATAGGCTTTTAAACCGACAAAAACAAGACCGTACACTGCTTTCACCACAGATAATGGACAATACCAATTAACAAGATTATCTATGGGATTAAAAATAACCCCAAATTCATTTTCTAGAGCAATGACGTTAGCAATGTCAGGATTAAATTATGAAAGTTGTTTTCTTTATTTAGACGATTTTGTACTTAGGTCATATTATATCATCTGAAGGAATTCTTCCCGATCCAGAAAAAGTGAAAATTATGTTAAATTATCCCACACCCAAAGATGCTAATGAAACTAAAAGATTTGTTGCGTTTGCAAACTATTACCGTAAATTTATAACAAATTTGCAGATGAGAAAGAGACAAATTTATATGGACTGAACAATGTCAAAAATCATTTGAAACATTAAAACAAATTTTAGTAAAACCCCAATCCTTCAGTATCCTGATTTTTCAGACAAAAATCAATTCATCTTAAGAACAGACACGTCGGGATTTGTTTTAAGTGCAGTGCTTTCTAACAAAAATGATAAACCTGTAGCGTATGCGAGTCGTACATTAAATAAGGCAGAAAAAACTTATTGTACCATTGAGAAGGAATTATCAGGTATCTATTGGGCAGTTAAAAAGTTTAGACCGTACTTATTTGGTAGAAAAATTCATATTCTCACAGATCATAAACCGTTATTATGTTTATTTGGGATGAAAAATCCATCAAGCAGACTAACTAAATTTAGGTTAACTCTGGAAGAATATGATTTTGTTATAAGCTACGTAACTGGCAAAACTAATGTAACAGCTGATGCATTGTCTAGAAATTAACATTGAATAAAGTGAATTAAAAGAGGTAAATAATAATGTAAGTTCTGAAGTATTTCCGATAACTCAAGCTCAACAACTTAAAATGAATAATCAACCTGCAGATGCTTTTAATAAAGTGACAACAGGCTGGATCACCCTGGTGTTGTGGAATTATTGAAATCTTCTGTAAATAAAGACCAAGTAGAACTTAAGGTAATACCAGAAGAAGACTTTAATAAACTCGACAAAAATATGTATACAGGGTGTTTCGGTGACTCGGGGAAAAAATTTAACCACATATACTAGAGTGAAAATGTTGACGATTCATGTAAAAAAAATTAGTAAAAGTCTTCAAATTTCTTTAAAAGAAACTTTAACACATTTTTCCAAATATCTTAAATACTATTTACAGTAAAGCGCTGAGATTTGGTACAGTATAAATCAGTGTTGTTAAATACCCGGGTAAAGTACTGATTGTGAGTAAAACAAGGCGGGACACTGTTGAACTCAAATTGTTCATCACAGTCCTCAGAGTGCATTTAAACAACTGGATTGGACCCAAAAAGGCATAAACATTGATTGCAAATGCTTAAATAATTTGCGCTACGCGGACTATATAGTTCTTATATCGGATAGCCTTGGAGAGATTAAACTAATGATGAACGACTTAAAGGAGGTGTGTGCAAGAGTCGTGCTAAATATCAACAAAGAGAAATCAAAATTTATAATAAATCTTGTTCCCAGCTCTAACATCAACATTGGGGATAATGAGATTGAGAGGGTTCACAGCTATGTATATCTTGGCTATGAGGTTCGTGTATCGAGAGATAATCAAACAAGCGAACTAAACAGAAGGATTTCAAAGGCTTTCAATCAATGCGTGTTTCCGGTTATGACATAAGGCTCCGATACTTTAACATTAACGGTAACCACTGCCAGGAGGGTCCAAGTAGCGCAAAGATAGATGGGGAGGTCGATCCTGGGTCTAACTCTGAGGGACTACATACGAAATGAAGACCTATGAAGAAGAACTGGCGTAAATGATGTGGTCAACATTGTGACAAAGCTTAAGTGGAACTGGACGGGTCATGTCGTGCGAATGAAGAATGAGCAGTGGACAAAACGGTTGCTTGAGTGAAGACCGCGAGCGAACAGACGAAGTAGACGTCAAAAGAATGACCAACCATTGGACTCAAACAGCACAGAATAGGGAAGGTCTATGTCCAACAATGGACGCAGAGGGCTGCTTGGTGATAATAATCATAATAATTTGATCTAATCTAAATTACGACAGATTGTCTAATGATAATACGTCTTTGATTGTTGACAATTCCTCGTCTTACTCTTCATTTTTATTGGAATCGATATATTTTTACTGGTATCATTTTTATACCCACTGTTTGGGTATTTACCCTGGGCCGGGGTAAATACCCGGATAAATACCCATTTTAGAAATACCTACCCGCTGGGTATTTACCCAGCGCCCATCACTGGTATAAATCAATGTGATGTAAAATCGTTAAGCAATTTATGAGTTTGATCGGTTCGCGGGAACAATGCTATACAGGCTGTTCCTAAAGTTTGTTTGCTCACAACTTTTTTATTCCATCATAACCCTACATTTATTTTTGCAGTTTCTAATAGTAAATTTAGTTTAGAAAGTTTTATTACTCTTAGATATTATTGATAAAAATCACCGTTTTCGTATTAAATGCAAAAATGTTGAGTTCCGATTTCAATAATAGCTATAAAAACACTGTACATAAATACACTGTACCAAATTTCAACACTTTACCATAAATAGTGTTTAAGAGTTGTTGCAATTTGAGGACATTTACTATTTTTTTTTTACATGAATCGTCATCATTTTCACTCTAGTACATGTGGTTACATTTATTCCCCGAGTTACTGACACACCCTGTATTTTAAATAATGTCATATTATATGATGAAAGTAAAAATATAATTTATATCAACTCGATCAACGTCAATACTGGATATGTCGTTGAGAGACCTGATTACAATATGTAAAAAATATAGTATTCTGGAATTAATTATAATAAAATCTAGTAATTGCGTAATGTTATTAAACGATTTGTCGAAGTTAAAACATGAAATAAAAAAGTGTAAATTAAAAATAACTATCAACAGTAAAAATCAACACATATTTGATAGAGAAGTTTAACTAATACTAAATTATTTTCATTTATTATCAACTGGTGGTCATGCTGGTGTAAAAAGAACATATAATAATATAAAAAAAATATTATTTTTGGACAGGAATGCGAAGAAGTGTAGAGGATTTCATAAGAAAGTGTGATGACTGTCAGAGATTCAAACATTCAAAAATGTACAAGGAACCTTTCACAGTTACCACCACTGCTAGTACAGCAATGCAAAAAGTTTTCTTAGATCTAGATAACCGCTATATTTTTACACTACAATGTGAATTAACAAAATTTGTTGAAGCATATCCGATTCCAAATAAAGAAGCAGACGTGGTTGCAGGAGTGTTTGTAAATAATTTTATATTGCGATACGGTATATCACATGAAGTAGTTACAGATCAAGGGACAGAGTTTTTAGCTTCCGTTTTTCAGGAAACTTTTAAATTATTAAAAATAAAAACATTAAAATTAACAACTTATCATTACCAAACCCTCGGAGCTTTAGAAAATTCACATAAATCTTAAAGTATATTTTTACGTATTCATACTTCTAAATTTCCAAATGCATGGAGCTCTTGGGTTGCATATTGGTGTTTTTCATAGAACATACTGTCCATAGTGAGACAAAATATACCCCACATGAATTAGTTTATGGGAAGTCTTGCCACCTACCATCAAATTTAACAAGTACCATTGATCCTTTGTATAATTTTGATGATTATCTGAAAGAACTTAAATTTAGACTTCAAACTGCGTGGAATGACGCAAAAAATAATTTGCTTGCATTCGTAACCACATAGTGTTAACGAACACAATAGTCATGTAATGACTAAAATAAATCAGTATAATTAAAATTAAAAAGTGTTTAAATATTATCTTTAAATAAATACATACACCCCAACCACCTGGAGACCTAAATGGGGTCAATACACTAGATCTAGTAAGTTCTTACGAGACGCCAGGCTAAATCCAAATGTTTCTAGTTCTAGGTCGAGTGTTAGTTCTAATACTAGTGTTAGCTTTAGTTGTAGTTATTAATTACTTTAAAGACTTTTGGCAAAACTTTTGGCCCTTCCCCATATTAATCAATTATATCGAGATTTTACTACAACTAATTAACTCACCTGCATAGCTAATCTTTTTAATTGAGCATTTCTTCGAACGGATTCAATATCTCCAACGGCCAAACCAATTAGTAAATTCATTAACAAAATCGGCATCAACACCATAAAAATAATAAAAATAAAAAGCGTCGGCATCGGATAAGGTAACTCTTTTCCTTCGATTTTTGGTTTTGTATAAGGATGAACGTAAGTTCCAACAAAATCGATTTCGCCCAACATCATCGAAAACGTTCTAACCATCGATAAAGACATCGTCCCGAACGATTCGTGATTCGCCTTCGATAACAAGATGTAAAAAGCTAGCCCAAAAGCGATGATTAAAATCGAAAAAACCATCAAAACTTTTATTAACGTTTGTAAGATTTCTAAGAACATTACGACGTAAATTCCAACTTGATCGAATCTTTGGAGAAGTAATAATAGATTAAACCAACAAAGAAATACGGCTAACGAAGCCGAGGAGAACTGTATTGTGCAGCTTGATTTTCCCGAGAAAAAGATCATTACAATAACCGAGCTGTAAAGTAACCAAGAAATAAGATTGATTGGGTCTAAGAAGTAGAAGTATTTTTGTTGGTAAATTTGGATGAATTCGCGAATCGAATTGATTCCTATGTACGTTAAAATTGCTAAAGCACTTATATACATCATTGGGGTGAAAGTTGAGTTTATAGCGTTGTCTTCTTCGTCGTTATAATTTTCATCGGGCTAAAAATGAATTAAATCAATACCAAAATAATTAAAAAAAAATTTTTTTTCACCATAGTAGTTGTTAATTCATAACTTTGATTCGAAGAATTCTTAATAGGAACATGACACACTTGTTTGTTCATCATTTCAAAAGAAGCAAAGTATGTAACAAATCCAAGAAAAAACGTGTAAAATAAAACGTTCGCGACGTGGAAATATTTCCCATACGAATTCCATTTCATTTGAAGATACTTTTGGCTTAGAGGGTGAGCTAAGAGTTCGACTCTTCCATGACTGACCATCGCGTTTAAAGCGGGTAAAGGAATCGGCGTTGAGATATTTAAAGCCTCTCCCGTTTTTCCATCCATATCGGCGTAAAATTGTGGACATTGTAAACAAGAAAAACTATATTTAATCTGTAAACAAATTTTAATTAAATCGATTTAATTAAAATTTATAAATACTTACATAAAACGATTTTGAATCCTTTTTACAATTAGCTTTCGTAATACATTTATCTTGAACAGCTTCAAAAACTCTCGGCATTGAAGCGATTAAAGCTAACGTAACACAAGGATGTTTATGCGATTTTAACATCATTATTTCTTGAGCTCTAAAATATAAAAGATTGAATCAAAAATTATTTATGAATCAACCCCTTAATATTACCTATCCTCGTGAGTAACCATCGCTAAAGCAGCATCGGGATATTTATAATAAATTGCATAATCAATCGCACTCATCTCCAAGTTATTATAAAGCAATTTACAATTCATGCTTAAAAGTAAAGCGATCGCGTTTGGTTTATTTTCCATTGTAGCCGAATGTAAAGCGGTATTCTAAATGTTTTTTATTTTATTACTACAAATTATCCTTAATTTATTAACTTACCCCGTCTTTATCGGTTTGATCGAGCAAATGGGAATGAACCGATAATAAAAGTTCGATCGTTTGCGTATAACCGTTCATGGCAGCCCAATGCAAAGGATTCCTTCCGTTGTGGTCTCGGTGTAATAGAGCTCCTCGATTTAAAAGAAGCTGAACGACTCTTGTGTGTCCCTGTTGCGAAGCTATGTGAAGCGGAGTTAATCCCTCACCGTCGCTTTCGTTTATTATAAAAGTTCCTTTTTCGGAATCTAAAAGTTGTCTTACCGTGTTATATCTTCCATATCTAGAAATTACAAAAAAGAGAAAGTAAAGTTAGAAATTAAAAGAGCTAATTTGAATAACCGTTGGTACAAAATTTAAGGGATGGCTCAAATGTGACTTCATGTTCTTAAAGTTCTCTAGTGTTGAGAAATTAGATTATATTAGATTATATTTAATTCGCGGTTTTCCATAAATTGCGAGTATTTTTATTTGGCCGTAACCATGGAGAACGATAATACGAACCTTTGTATTATCGCTTATTTGACATTTAATTAATTTCGAGACATCCATGTTTCCATAACAATCAATGTAATTTATTAATAAATAACTAAAAAATATTAAAATTCTAAAAATATGTACATATATTTTTTATTCATGAAATAGTCTAACCCTTTGATTATATATAATATGGATTGAGCTAACTGAATATATCTACTAACAAAAATGTTGCTCAAGGTGAATAGACGCAGATGGAAAGCGATAATGTGAAAGTGTAACAAAGATAGATATATTATATGTCAGTACGCTTCTATATCTATCTCACTTCTATCAGTACACCCATTATATGGCAGTACGCTTCTATGTCTATCTCGGTTCGATCACCTTGCGCAAGCTATCTCTCTCGTTGGCTCAATCCATATTATATATAATCAAAGA